CTCTTTTTTTTTTTTTTCATTTTTATCTTTTAGGCATTTTAAGAAGAAGTATAATATTTACTTGGTTTTTCTTCCTGAACTTGTCTTCATGATGTGCATCTTCGGCTACCTTGTGTTTATGATCTTCTTTAAGTGGTTAGCTTACTCTGCAGAGGACTCTACATCTGCTCCTAGCATTTTGATTCAGTTTATTAACATGTTCCTATTTCCTGGGAGTGAAACAGAGGTCTTTTATAATGGACAGGTTAGTAGTGTTGTAATCATCTACAATAAAAGTCTTTTTTTTTTTTTTTTTTTTTTAACTGCTGATTTTTCTTTTTTTCTTTTCTTTCTTTCTTTTTTTTTTTTTTTTTTTCATTCATAAACAGGTTGTTTTACAGAAGTTTTTACTTAGTCTTGCTTTACTTTCTGTTCCTGTAATGCTTTTTGGAAAACCACTTTACTTATATTGGTTGCACAATGGAGGCCAGAGCATTAGAAGGTACAGGGTAAGTATGAAGGAATGGTATTTATTTATACATCTCCTTTTTAATCGACAGTGGTGTTTTGTTGGCCAACTTACACGTTTGACTAGCTACAGGAATATTTACAATACTGGGCACTTTTCAGGCTGTCAATACTGGAAATACTAGTGAAACCTAGGAATAATGTGGAAATATTTTTGGGCAAAATTAGCATGTGGAATCCTCATAGTGGTTCAATAGGCATTTATTTGATTACTTATAGATGAGTTAATATTAATTGCTGTTCTTGAAAGAGAAGCTTTGGAAGCATACATAACTGACTGTGTGTTGGGAAACAATATTATGTCTCAAACAGTCTAGAATTCAGCAGCACTTTGCATATACAGAACAGTGCCCTTAACTAAGTATTTCTGCTTAACTTGGAAAGTTTTTGACCATAAATCATAATAGCACATTGTTCCTCAATCTTTCTGGTCCTTCTGTCCTTGAAAGTGTTACTTCTGGTGGCCACTATAATTTTTATACCTTGTAGTGTTAAAGTTGTCACTGTAAAGTCTGCTTGGCAAATAGGCGTGTTGTATTTTCATTTTGCGTAGGGTGGCTACAAGCTAATTCGAAAAGAAAGCGAAGAAGAACTTTCTCTGCTGAGATCTACTGATGTGGAAGAGGGAAGCAGCTCTTCAGACAGTGGGCACAGAGATGGGGATGTAGAAGAGGTAATGTTTTTTTACTTAGTCTCTCTTAGTCTATAATTAGTATATCTTTAGAAGCAAATCATAGATGGAAAATAAAGTAATCTGTGTATGGAGTCCCCGGGAATGAACAGGAATGTCAGCTGAGCTGTTAGGAAGACTTGATGACTGAATGCAGTTTATGTTTATTTATTTATTTAATGCTGTTTTAACATTATTTCTTCTAGTCAGTGTATTAGCTCAGATTGCTACAGTAAACCACAGTGTATCTGTAGTGGAGAAGAGGAAGATGCTTTATTTGGATCAGACTATAGTTTTTAAATAGAAGAAGTAGGGTATTTCTACTTGTGTGTGTGGTTTTACTGATTCTTGAAACTAGGACAAAAGTGAACAGTTTCCTGTTCTTTAATCTTGTTTTTTTTTTCATTCAGAGTAAAAAAAAGTCACATATCTCAAAGCTGCATCTTGTGAGAAGGCGTGGGGGATTGCCCGTGGGGACTGGGAGATCTGAGCTGTGTTCCTAGTCCTAGCTATTACTTCAGTATAATTTCAGTATAAATCTTTGCAAATGACTAATTCCACTGATTTTATGTTAACTGGAAAAACAAAACAAAAAAGGCAGTTTCCCAGTGTGCAGTGTGTGTCCAGTACATACCCTTCATTGGAGTAGTTTTCAATTGTTATGAAATGAATGTATTGACATGAAATAGATTTTTTTATGTATAATAATACATGTGGATTAATGTTTTTATTCTTTCATGCTATATTATGATGCAAGTGTATTTTTATATTTTAGTTTAATTTTGCAGATGTTTTTATGAATCAAGCAATTCATACCATTGAGTACTGCCTAGGATGCATTTCCAATACAGCTTCATATCTGAGACTCTGGGCGCTAAGTCTTGCTCATGCACGTAAGTTTTTGTATCTATCTTGCGGTTAATGCTAGTTAAAATTACACTACTATTAAACCATCCTTTTATTAATTTAGAATTAATACTAAACTAGTTGTGAAAACTTTTCTTATAGAGTTATCAGAAGTTCTCTGGCAAATGGTGATGAGAGTGGGTCTTCGCGTGGATACAACATATGGTGTTTTACTGCTAGTCCCTGTTCTAGCATTTTTTGCTGTGCTAACCATTTTTATTCTTTTGGTCATGGAGGGACTTTCTGCTTTTCTCCATGCTGTACGACTCCACTGGTAAGTTTTAACTCTTCAGTTTTAAATTATTTTGCTTTAGTGTACACTGATTTGTTTAGAGGATTTTTTTTGTCAAAATATTAGGTGTCTTTTTAGAATAGAAGTGTAAATTTTAATAACCTCATACTATGGTATGGTTTATAACGTCTTACATTTTTGTAATGTAGAATATTAGTAGCTCAGATAAGTCTTTTAAATTTTTGTTTGTTTGTATCATTGAAGACTCTAGTCCATGTTATTCATTTGACTCAATAGAACATTTGTATTGGTGAAGAAATCTTTTATGCAGAAGAGGGCAGCTACATTTTATTTTAATCACCTCATAATCTTGGTATCCTGAGTGTTCTGCTTGTGAGTGGATTCAGTGAGCATTTAGTTTGAAACTTGATGAAATTTACAGTATTAGGAAAGGCAAATATATATAAAAGCACGATGATAGATCTGAATACCTTATTGAGTATTATGATCATTATGCAGTAAATTTGCCAAACAGCTGCAGCTAACTTAAAAATAAGTTAATAAAGGAGGCAGAAGTGAGCAATGAGCCTTTGTAGCAGAATATCTGTCTTTTTGGGTCTCTTGACAAACGCCAGACCTGCCTATGCTTGACAGATAGCTGCACAGAAAGTGGAAAGGACAGGGCTAGGGGTGGTCTTGTTTAGCCTCTTGTGTTGTACAGCTCTATCCCTTGACGGTTGTTTTGCATTAATATGTAGGTTCTGTTTTTGTCTCATTTCAGGGTGGAATTTCAGAACAAATTTTACACTGGTGGAGGATACAAGTTTACACCCTTCTCTTTTAAGCACATTTCTTTACATTTTAATAAAGATGATATGGCGTAGTTTGGTTGCTGTCAGATAGGCTCGGAATTGTCTGGAAATAATCATGCGACTGGATCTCATCTCTGAACGTTTTCTTGTAGGACAAAGTGTTTTTCACTGATTGCCTTATAATGCAGCCAAATAAATGTGTAATATATACCTCCCATACAAGTGCATAGCAGATCTGAAGCATCTTGTAAACTATATAGGTCTAAAATGTACATTTTTTTCTTGATAAACTGATGGTGTAAATTAATTTTATTCAAAAAAATACCCTTGTTACTGCTTGTTCTAAAAACTATGTAGGTATTTTCTTGCTAAGAGGATGTTGACTTTCTTGAATTATTATATTTTAAGTTACCTGAAAGACTTGTCATCATGCTAAATACTCATTGCTGCTCCTCTAATCATATACTTCCTAAGCAAGCTACCCTCTGATGCAGTTTGGAAGCAGTTGACCAATGCAACACAAGCAATGTATGTTCTCAGTATTTATTCCAGGCAGATTACTAAGTACAGTATAAACTTGTACATAGCAATACAAAATGCGCTTTCTTTTGGCCCTATGTAAAACAGCACCAAAAATGTTAACTTTTTTATTACACATTTGGCCTGGAATTATTACTTAATGTTTTAGTTCGGTTTTACTGAAGGAGGCTGGAATCTGGCCGGGGATGGGGGACATTATCCCTCTTTTTCAGGCTGCTAGCAACGTGTTTCCCGGAATGGAGCAAGCCTGGTGTGCCTGGCACCGTCTCCGTGCCTGCGGAATCACTCCGGGAGCACATCTGGGCCTCCAAAGGCTGTGGCACCCACACGCTGGGTGCCATCCTCCTGACTCCCGCCCTCACAGCACGCCCATAGCCCAAGCTCTCCCTTCAGCCTTTAACGTTTGCATGAGGAATTTAGCCTTATTTATGTGTGGCTTAAGGATGTACAATATTTTCTGATGTTGAACCAAAGGCCTTTTTACTGAGGGGGAGGGGGGAACGGGGCCTTTTGTATGTTTTTATACCCCCAAACGCCGCACACCTGTGCGGGGCCGCAGCTGTTCCCTAACGGTTCCCAATAAACGCCCGGCGCTCGTTGGAGCGGCCGCTGCCGCCTTGTGGTGACTGCGCGCGGCGCCGAGGCGGGGCGGGCGGGCTCCTCCCGGCGCCGTTACCGGGGCCACCGGGCAGCGTCCCCGCGGCCGCCGCCATGAGCCTGGAGGACGTGCGGGTGCAGTGGCTGCGGGACCGGGTGCTCGGCGCCCTCGGCCTCACCGACCCGGCGCCTTTCGAGGAGCTGCTGAGCCGCGGCGACGGCGAGGAGGCGCGCGCCGTGCTGCGCTTCCTCAACCGCGGCGGCGACGAGGACGGCGACGACGAGGACGACGCGGCCACCGCGGTGCTGCTGCTGCGGGCCGAGCTGCGCCCGCCCGACAGCGAGGAGGCAGCGGGTGAGGGGGGGACCTCCCTGCCGCCCCCCCCCGCCATTTTGCCCCCTGCGCCATTTTGTGCCCCACCATTTTGCCCCTCGCTCTTTCCCCCTCCACCACTTTGCCCCCGCTCTTTCCCTCCATGTCTTTCCTTCTACTGCCTCCGGCTCCTTTTTCCCACATAGGGGCTCCTGTTTGCCCTATCTACAAATCTTAACCCCCAATCCCTGCCTCATTCTGCCTGTGTGCTCCTTGTTCCCCCGGCTGCACCGTGGCCGTATCACCCTTCCCTTCCATATTGTATGTGCGCGCAGATGCAGGTGATCAGTATGAGTTTGAAGAGGAGGAGGAGGAGGAGGATGAGGAAGGCCTGGATGACTTCTTTCCAGAAGAGCTGTCCCAAACAGCCTCCCCTGTGACCTTGGAAGGAAGTAGGTGGTTGGGGTGGCCAAACCCTGCTCGTTGCAGGTGGTACTGCTGCGGTGGTGTGGTCGGCCTCGCTGGCACCGTCCTAGGGTAGAGCTGTTCCCACAGGACCCAAAACATAACGGCTCATTCCCAGGATCATAGTTTGAGTTGTGAGAATGGGGTCCGAAGCAGAAGAAATGGCCAATTAGTGGTTTCTCCAGAGCTTCTCAGGGTATTTGTTCCCTTCAGAAATGCTTTTCTCAGCTTGACTTTTCCACCTCTCCCAAACTGACAGCGACTGACTGGGATGAACAGCTACTCTCTGTCTGTGTTTTAATGTAGTTTAATGAGAAAAGAAAAAGGATAAAGCGTTAAGATCAGCCAAGTACTTTAGCCCTATAATGGCATAGAAGCCTTTAATACAAAGTGGAAAAGGGGAAACATAATAAAAAGGTGTCAGAAGAGGATAGTGATTTTCTAAGGCTCAGAGTTTCAATTTTCTCCTCTGCTGTCAATATCCATGCAGCTCTCATAAGCTTCTGAATTATTTGCAAAAGCAAGATACCTTGTCATTTATTTTGAGAAGTTAATTGGAAGGATTTGTCTTAAATGTGCAGACTATCTATTTACTTATTTTTAAGGGATGACTTTGAAAAGCAAGATGACCCTTCTGGAATACTCAGATGAAGCAAGTGTGCAAGGTCGCATGTCAGGTCTCTCTGTTGGGTCTGAATTGAGTGATCTAGAGCAAAAATTGGCAACTGAACGTACGGAACACATACCTCAGGTAAAACTTTTGCATTTCACTTGGTTTTTCAGGGGATGTCAAAATACTGGGTTTTGGCTGTGGCTGTTTCAGTAAAACTGATGGGGAAGTTGAAGGGGTACAATGAAGAGCAAGAACAAAACATTTTACAAGAATGGAAATTTCATTCAAAAGAAATGTTTTGTGGTGTCTGCAACAGCCTTTGATATAGACTCTCATGACCTTACAAAGGAAATTTACTTGATAAAATGTTACACTTGCAGTGAGGAAATGCAATAGTTACATACCACATTATCCGTTCACAGAGCTGCTTGCAACAGGCAAGTTGTAGTTAGAATAACTGCTAGATAAAAATATAATGGGAAGAGCATGTAAGGGACACTGAACAAAGATTTTTGTACTTCTGTTCTTTTACCTAATAGATACCACCTAGTTAATTTGGTGGCAGGTAGTGATAGTCATTCTCTTTTTTGATTTTCTGTTTCAGTTAACAAAGCAGAAGGCTGACCGTCTGTATTTCTATGTGGCTCTTGATGAAATTCCTGAAGAATTTATATCTGGTGATATTGTCTACTTTCTGAGAGACACCAAAGGTATTTGCCCGGAATAACCACTGGCTGTGCACTTTCAGTATTTGCATTAAAAAGCACTTCAGTGTAGGAAAATAGGAAGGTGAAGATTAAGGAGGGTGCGTGACCAGGTTAATATCTGGGCAGCGATACTCTCAGAGCAAAACCAGGAAACTAGGAATACTTTTCATTTCTTATGCTCTTTAAGTTGCTTGTCTTGCACATTTTACTAAGATGCATGAAACTTTGATGTTGCTACCAGAGGAATTAAGAAGTTTTTGTTACTATAGCTGTGTAAACTATGTTGTGGATGAAGAGCTCTATCTCAAAGGCCATATGGTGATGAGCACAACTGAAGCATCTGTCCTCCTGACTTGACTGAAATTCAGATGCACAACAGAAGGCCGTGAAACACAGATTTTATTCCAACAGTTCGTATTTAGTCATAAAAGCAATGACACTATTTCTACTATTTATTTGTTGACTTAGAGGTTTTGTTTTCTTCTTATGTTTTATTGATTGCTTTCTCTATCAAGTAAATATATTTATACTAATTCTTTGTATCCTGTTTAGAAACAATTACTGAACCTAATGACCTGGCTGAAGCTAATGAGATTCTTCCTAAAATGATAGAGTTTGGCACACTGACTGGTAACACTCTTTTGATGTTAAAGAATGTCTTCGCACAGGTAACAGTTTTTATGTATGAAGTCTTGAGTGATTTATCTATTTAGTATTTTTCTAAATGCACAGATGTCTATAAGATATGTTAATGTTTACTGAGTGAATGTAATATGCCAAAATGGAGTTTGTGTTAACAATCAATTTATATTTTTGTTTCCTAAATTTCTATGAAGATGTGGGGACAGGGATTATTCACTGAATTATCTAACCCTGCCTGAGACACATTTAAAAATGTGACAACAGATACCTTTATTTTTGTACTGATGGACTTCTACTAAGCTATGTTGAAGCTGTTCCCTGTAGAGTTTGATGCAAAGAGAATGATGCTAAAGAGGAGATATATAGAGAGATCCATTTAAATTAAGTTAATTAAGAACAAGCTTAAGTGGATTATAAGTAAGGTAAATGGATTATTTTTTTTAAATGTCAGTCCTCCAATTTATGCTACCTGTTTGCATTGTAGGTATTTTTGCCTCTTCTCTCCTATAATCAGCAGCAGGCTGAGGAAGCTTTTTTTCATCCAGATAGTGAGGAAACAGATCCTGAAAAAAGGAGTTTACCTGAGGCTGAGGCTGCAAAAAGGAAAGAACAGACTGTGGAATACTGTAATATTAAAATAATGAGGAATGAGTTCCTAATGAACATGCAAAAATTCTTAAGCCATATTCAACGAACAATACAACAAATTGAAGGCAAGTATTCTGCCTCTCCTGGCACTTTGCTGTTTCGATACGTGACAAGAGATTCACCAAGAAATGGCTTTTTTTAGAACAGAAAATATATACAATTTCTAGGGAAGCTCCAGTTTCGCATTGCTATGACAGTAATATTTTTTTGCCTTAAACATAACAGACAGAATGGGGAAATGGACCAAATCAGAATATAATGAATATTCTTGCAGACAGCATGGAGTCTGCAAGGAGAGAGGATAAACATGCCTCCTTGCCTGCCAGTATCCATAGACCATAGCAGGACATAGGAAATGGAAAATCAAATCAGACTGTCACGTGTTGTTTAGTATCCATTCTGTAGCAGGGGCTACTGTCTTAACATTAGAGAGGGTGTAACAGCCCACAATAGGCAGACTGATAATATTCATTCAAATACTAATCCTGATTCTTAATTGTTTGACAGTTGTTTGAGGATTAAAAACTTAGAGATTTTCAGTTATTTCTAGTTATGTCTTTGCACTCTTTGAAGCAACTGGACATGTTTTGCCATATTCTCAAATGGCAGAGCAACTGGTCTCTTATTAGGACAGAACATGTAGACAGTTTTTGATATTTTATTTAAACGATGCTGATGGAACAAGATAGTTATTTTAGGTGCATTTTCTTCCAATAGGAAAGATTAAACTGGAAATGCCAGATGTAAATCTAGATGAAGAAGTGACTGTTCTTGCTAAAGCTCCAGAAGTGGTGGAAACCCTTGAAGCTTATGCAGTTACTTGGCAAAAATTATTATCCACAGCTGTAGGGGAACAACTGAAAAAGGTCCCACAGGTAATCTTACCCCTAACACCAGGGGTAAGAAATACCCCCAGTGGTATTTCTTTGTTTTCCACAGGGATCTTTGGCAATGACTTGTGCTGATTTTTAATCTGTCTTCACGTATACAAGTGTCTAAACATTTGCAAGTTAGGAGTTTTGAGCTCCAACTCTGGGATATGCTCTGTCTGAGAAGTTCCTCAGCCTGTATAAAAAGACCTCTGGATTTTAAGGATCTTCTTCTGTATGGTATTTTTTTCACGATTGATTCATATCTATTTTCCCTCAATATACAGCATATTGAAAAGAAAGCACAAACAGTCTTTTCATAAAGCTTGTGTGCTCAATCTTTATGAGAAAACTCATAATTTACATAAAGACTCATAAGTTACTTTGTTATTTTTTACTCCTCATTACTTGTAGGGTAATGGTCCACTTGCAGAAATTGATTTCTGGCGGGAAAGAAATGCTACTTTAAGTGCACTTTCTGAGCAGATTAAGCTTCCAGAAGTGAAAAAAATCTTGGAAGTACTACAAGAAGCTGAATCTGAGCATTTTGAAAGTTTACAGAATGTCTTAACTGATCTCCGCAAACATCATGTGGAAGCTCTAGATAATGTTAGGTTTCTTTCAACTCTTGAGCGCCATTTGAAGGTATGTATCCCTAAGAAAATTTTAGGAAGCTTTACCAATACTTATCTCAGTTTGTTTTCTCTGTTACTATAATCACAGCTATTTATTTATGTATTTACTTATTTTTAAATAGTTAATAAAGATACACTCTAGATTTTTATATATAATTAGAATAAGGTGTGCTTATTTTGTTTGAGATACAGTTGTTCTGGTACTTGGAAGTAGAAGTAAGAGCAGAGCTGCAAATAGTTTGTTTTATTAAATCGTAGCCTTGAGAGTGTTAGGTAAATATTGTTTGATAGAATATACATCTGTGTATTTTCATGGTAGCTTATTCACAATGTTTATAATACACTAAACAGAATTTGACACATGGCACTGGGTTTAATGTTGTGCTGGATACAATTCCTTCACTGATGAACGCCCTGCGAATGGTGTGGATTATCTCACGGCACTACAACAAGGATGAGAGGATGGTACCACTCATGGAACGGATTGCGTGGGAAATTTCAACAAGAGTGTGCAAAGTTGTGGATTTACGTACCCTGTTTAAGTAAGTACTGGATTCTTTGTTAGTTAGGCTGCCCTTACTAAAACTTTGTTTTACAGGCAGTAGGGTAAATGGTTTCATCAAATAGGTTACAATGCTTTTTACTATCTGAAATTGTATTAGAACAACTTAAATATCCTACCGTTTTATAACTGCATAGATTACTGAATCATTCCTGAAGAAATGATTGCTTGTCCTCCTTTGTCTTGAAAGGGCATAAAAAAATAATACCAATGAATTCACTAGAATTATACTGGCGCAAAAGTGGCATAAATGTCATCCAGTTCTGAAATAATATCTCCTTTCAAAATCAGTCCTGCTGAAAATGAAGACCTCACAATTATATTTTAAGTTTTGTCTAGTTCTCTTTTTAAAAGCTGCTAAACCTGGGTATGTAAATCCGGATCGGAAGTCATTTTCTAGCCGTAGAGTTTTGTTCTATCTTTGATCTGTTAACTATTTTCATTTGGTTAACAGAGAGGATAGAACTGCTGCGAAAAATAAAGTGACAGAAGCTAAAAGCACACTCGAAGAATGGAAGAAATCTTATTTTAGTGTTCGTGCCCAAATTGAAGCATCAGGAAGAGAGCAGCGTTGGGAATTTGACCGAAAACGTTTATTTGAAAAAACAGATTATATGGCTTCAATCTGTCAAGATCTGTATGATACTTTGCAGGTAGTAATATGCACAGTAATAAAAAGGATTGTATATTCAGTTTCTTTAAGTAAATTAACACATGTAATATAATTATAAATATTATATATCAAATTCAACAATATATGAACTAGCATATCAATTGCAGATTAATTTATACAAATGGATAGATGCTATATTTTGGCCCAAGGCAGATTGACTAGAAATATTCATGGTCCATCAATTGTTCATTATATGCTATAAACTGTGTTTGTAAAACCCCTGTAATAGAAATATAATAGAAAGAAGTCATAACTTGATATCATCTATGTAATAACTACAGTGTTGGATCTGTAGGATTGTTTTTAATCTACTTACAATGTAAATCACAGTAAAAATTGTTTGCTAGACTGTTGCTATTTTTAAAGGAAATAGTAACAAAAAGATAACAGTTATATCTCAGAAACAACAACAAAAAAGATTTTCTGGTGTCTTCTTCCAAACAAACAGGTCATCGAAGAATTTTATAATATATTTGGTCCTGAACTTAAAGCTGTCACGGGTGATCCAAAACGTATTGATGATGTATTGAGAAGAGTAGATGGGCTAACTAATCCTATGGAGCAACTGACTTTTGACCCTTTTAGCATCAAATGTGCACATCAGTGGAGATTTGTTATGGAAGAGTTCAAGGAAGGAGTTTTAGTAAGTGCTGTATATTGTGATTTTCTTGTATTACTTCCTATATAGAATGTCAGCATTTTCCCGTAAAGAAAATATAATTTTGAAAGATAAAATAAGAAATAAATATATAAATGAAAATGTGAAGAATTTGACCAAAATTTTAAGCAAGTATTTTTTTAAAGGTATTTTTGCTTATAATTCTACTTTATTTTGGTAACTGGTGAAATGTACTGTTTGTTCGTTGGCTGAATTGCTACAGTGTGACATATGGTTACGCACTACAGTGTGACGTATGGCTGCATATGACCTCTCTGTACCCATGGGCTGACAAATCTCAAGTATGTCCTTCAAAGAAGTAAAACGTCCCTTTTTTGAATTCATTTAGCTCTTCATTCCTCAACTAGCACACTGAAAGCACACAAATTGTTACGATGCTTCTTGCAACTTACATCCCTACCCTGTAGTGTCTGGGTTAATGGTCATTTTTGTTAACTTGCTGGAAATCCATCAGTTTGTTAATAATTTATTGTAAAAAGGCAACTAAAAACGTACTTGACCACTGTTAAAGAAAGATATTTTCATTTTGTCTTCCTTTGGTTTTGCAAACCTTTAAGTGATAGTATTTGTTTGGCCTTCTTCCTTTGATTAGGTTATTGAAGAAGAGGCCAAAAACTTTGTTGATGAATCTTTCAAGACGCTTCGATCCGCAGAAGCTGCCTTTGACATGCTGTTAAACTTCAAACACATCCGCTCTCGTGAAGCCATTAATAAGCAGATGATGATGAAATTCAATGATATTTTGGACCAATATTGTAAAGAGGTATTTTGTTTAATATCTTAAGAAATACACAAAGCTCTTTACCTGTTGAAAATCATAAATCTGTGTATCTAGACACATGTGTAGTGTCATTCACCATCCAAAGGACTCAGTCAGGATTTTACTTCAGAATTTGCTTCAGTGCTTTGCTTTATACCTGCTTAGATTTTGATCATGGAGAAGCAAGTGAAGTTATTCTTTGCAATATTTCATTCTCTTCAAGGTTGGAAATGTTAAGCAGATCTTTATTCAGAACTTCAAAAATCCTCCTCTGTGCAAGAATCATCCTCCAGTGGCTGGAGCCATATACTGGTCCCGATCCCTTTTCTATCGGATCAAGCACACTATTATTCGATTTCAGGAAGCAGAGGAGTTGCTCGCTAGTGAACGCGGAAAGGAAGTATGTTGGCTCTATTGCTTTTTAATAGGGAAGAAATACTCTCTTCATACCTTTATTCTCAGGAAAGTGCCCTTATGTGAGCTGAAGTTCCAAAAATGTCTTTGTAGACAGGGATATGTTATAAACGGGAGCTGTTTTGGAACTTCCCATTGACTTGTGGACAGACAATGACAGAATTAGTGCTACCACTCAAGAGCCTGAATTCCCTATGACCTGCATTAATTACAAGTCTTTAGTTGCCTTCATCTACCAAAATATTTAAAAAGACTTACTAAGATAGGGTGGTGAAATTCTTGTTACTCTTGATCTTTAAAATGATTTTTAATTAATTTTCTAGGTAAAACAGATATATCTTCAAGTGGCCAAGAAGATGAAAGAGTACGAAGATCAGAAGTATAGTCAGTGGAGAGATGGGACAGAACAGATACTTCCACAACTGTTGAAAAAAACTCTGCTGAATAAAATTGTTTCTACTGGACCTGTAACACGCGCTAACCTAGAGACTTCTGAGCAGGTGAGAGATGGGAAGGTAAAACATTGGACTTTTCTGTCAGAAAAAATGGAAATCAAAATTCTTTGCAACCTTCCATAGGGCGTTGGTTGCAGCTCCTGAATGACCTGGCAGATTGATAAATATTGTTTTTCTGTGCATTTCTATTTTAACAATTTGATATTCCCCTCATTTCTGCTTCTCTTCCTTTCTTGTGTTGTAGAACTCTGTAGCAGATGAGGCTGTTGCCGTGGAGAAACCTGTCCATTTCAGTGTGAATTTTTCTCCCAGACTCCATGAGATTATCAGTGAAACAAAGTACATGGAACAAATGGGGCTTCCAATCCCAGAAATGGCAAGAAATGTTGCATTGCAAGAAGACAAATATCTCAAGTAAGGCTAATACTAATAAGACTAAGACCAAATACCTCCTCCCATGCAGGTTTATGTTAGTGTTTTAAGTTATTTGACTCCCAAAGCAGCATCGTCCTGAGTCACCACAGTTTGGTAATAGGAGATCTAATGTTTTTTTTTTCATAAATAAAATTACTAATGGTCACTTTATATTAATAATCTTTTCTCTGGCACTGTCTGTGTCTTTCACTCTCTGTATGTTTTACAAATTAATGTTATTAAAACTTGTAAGAAGAAGAAAGAAAGATTTTTTTTTTTCTTAGCAATGAATTGTTAGTTCTATTCAGATTTCATGTCATATTCAAGGTCTCTTTCTTATTGTGCTGCTATGGGCAGTCACTTTGTTCCATGTAGGCACATAAAAATGCAGATAACAGTTCCAAATGGATTTTAAGATCACCCATTGGGTTCATTTATGTGCTTCAAACGGAGTCTGTTTTTAATACTGTTTCTGGGTTGGGTCAGGAAGAGTTGGTCTAATTACTTTTGGAGCCATTTCAAATCTTTTGTTTGTTTTCAGTGGGAAATGAACTGGATTTATAATCAATATTCAATGGTGAATTTCTTCATATTTGGTTTATATTTCTGAATAGGAAATGAAAGTGATCTGTACTTTGATCTGTGTTCAGATCTTATTTCTAGGCAATCCTAATTTTAATGATTATGATCAGGCAATTCCTGACTTTTTTTTTTCGCACTCATTAGGTACATAGATGGACTGAAAAACATGCTGGATCACTATCACCGATTAATGGGAACATTAGATGAAGCAGAAACCAAGCTTCTTGATGATCATATTCAAGAGCTCTGGAGAGTATTCAGATCAGGACATAGGAGACTCAACTGGAATTCCTTGGGTACCTGAGATGCTATTTTAAAATGACCCTAGATACTGATTTTCCATTTAAAAAAAGTCTTTAATTCTTTATTTTTTGCATCAGACCTGTCTGATGTACTCAGAACAATGTAGCCCTAAATAGTATATCCTATTGCCACTACCAGAGATAAAATAATGGGCTAGATAGGGTCTATTCCAGGAAGATGTTTCTTATATTTTTATTATATTTAAAGCTCGGTGCAAAAATGGGTATAGAAGATTAAATAATATAGCTGGAAGGAAGCTCTCCTGTGAGAAATGATCTAAACCATCTTTCTGCAGAGTGTCATTTCAGTTTCAGAGATTTAACACCTTTGGTTGTGCGAGTACTGATGTGTTGGCAAGAATTTTGGTAAGAGAAAGTTTGTGATTTATTTCAAGGTATTAGTGACTTCATCATCCGCTGTACACAAGCCATTGGAAAGTTTGAATCACTTATCCATCAGATTCATAAGAATTCTGAAGATATAAATAACAAACTTCTCCTAATAGAATCAACAAATCTCTTCAAGGCTCCACCTTCAAAAAATGGTGATGAACTCCCTAGTAAGTCTTTACATTATTTTTTTCAGGTCCAAGGTCCATGATGCTTTATTTTCCATTGCCTGCTACTTTGCAGTTCTAGTTGCTGAGATCAACCCCTATTAAGATTTCCAAACCTAATTACAGAAGTATTTTATGATATAAGACATGAAGCAACAAGCAGAGCTTCATTACCTTAAAGCTTTCAAAGAGGGAAAGAGAGAGGTGGATTTATAAGTGGATCATCTGTGTCTGTCTATATAGTCCTGTGTCTACCTTGCTGAGTCCTTGTTTTCTTTTTTTCCTTCTTGTGTGCATTATTTGGGACTTTAGGCTGCAGTTTTTGCAGAGCACTCTTGTAGGGCATTGGAACTGCAGTGGTTTCTCCCAGAGGCAAAGTGCAGGAAGGTGACCTGAAACTGGCATCTCCCAGGCCTCCTGGTCACTTGAGTGATGACCATGTTTCTTACGAAGCTTTCTGAGATGTCTGATTCCTTATAAAATCAAAGAGTTGAAATATTAATAACTCAAGCATTAATAAATGAAGGTTTTTTTTATGTAAGATTAATTTCATGTTCATAAATAAAGTCCAGGTAATTATTCAGTTTTTCAAATCCATTAGATTTTTTATAGTTAATACTGTTTTTTATCTTTTGCAGAAGTGAAAGAATTTTTTGAACATATTAAGTGTGAAAGAGTAAAAGATGTGGAACACATGGTCAGAAGATATGTTTCTATTGGACCATTGCTAACAAAAGTGGAAGGGTTGGTTGCCAATACAAACAGTGGCAAATCTCCCAAATTATTTTCGTATTATGCATACTGGGAAAATAGGATTTATCAGGTGTTGACACAGTTAATTCTGAAGTAAGTTGATTGCCTTAAAGAATGTTCTGTCATTCATCTTTGGATTTTTCCAGATCTTTTAATCTAAATTCATATATACTGATATTCTGTCTGAATATCTCAGAGATCTGGAGCTGGAGTATTTGGTTTGTATTTATGTATTGGCTTTATATGCAAAGATGGAGAACTGATTAAAAAGATAAAGGAGAAATTGTAATTCTGAGAAAATGAATTTTTAAAAGTGGTTGGCAGAAGAGAGAAGTAGGATAGCTTTTCTGTGGTATATATATTTTGCATATGCCATCTTTGTTCTTAAAATCAAAGCCTTGTTTTACCAAAAGAGGCAATCTTGAGAACTTTACATCTGGGTGCCATATGCACCATAATGCTGGGAATGTCAGTACAAGGACAAACGTTTGCTGTGTTGTGCCGTACCTGTTCAGTAGCAGCTGGAGCCAAGGGGGTTCCTGTGGCAGGATGTTACAAAGACCTGGATGTGCCTTCTGTGCTGGAGCCTTTTCTTGGAGCCAACTATGGTCTCAGGATCTTTTTGCACCAGGATATCCCCTTCTGTTCCTTCTTACAGCTTTTTCTGGCCAGAGAAGCTTTTGCATTAAATAAGTCTTAGTGGGACAATTCTGCTCTCAGATACACAGCTGGGTTTCCAGCTGAAGTTCATGTTAACTGACTTTGAATGGATCTGCTTTCATATCTAAGCGCATAGCTGATAATTGCAATCCCTGCTGGGCATTTCCATGGTTGGCAGTACCTGATTATAACTATGACAGGATTTGTTTTTCTCTTCCAGGAATTTGCAGTCTTTTAATGCCTCCATTGTTTCAAATGTGCCACTGTTCCAAACAGAAACTATTTTGTCTGCTCCTGAGATAATCTTGCAACCTAATGCTGGTGAGATTGAGAAAATGACTGTACAGTGTATTCGAGACTGCGTTGAAGTCACTAAGGTAATTCTTGATTAACATTTACTTGCTGCTGGAGTTTCCCTCTTGTTATAATAAGTTAATTCGCTTTATATTTGGGCAAATACTCACCCTATTTCCTACTTAGTCTCCTAAATGCTAATGAACAATTTCAGGGATATCATTCTCTCTACAAAGTAATTATTTTGCACCTCTTTCTTGCAAACTCCAGCATTTTGTGCGATGGATGCACGGCACATGTATTGAATGCCCTCCTCAGCGGATTGAGGAGGATGAAGTTATCACCTTGAGTTTTTACAACGATATCTCCCAGAACCCTCTGATAATTGAGCAGGCTGTTCTCATCACTCAGAATGTCCACAAACTTCTGGCTTTTCTCAGTAATTATTTGAACAGATGGAAGAGGTATCGTCTGCTGTGGAAATTAGACAAAGACATAGTCATGGAGAAGTTTGCTACCAAAAAACCTGCTTGTGTCATCTTTGATGAAAAGTTGCAATTCTATACAAAGATAGCTCAAGATGTGACTCAACAGCCCTTGATTAAAGATGAGCGGTTTATCAGGCTTCAGCTGGGATCTTTAGCCTCTACCTTGCAAGAAAGTGCTAGAGGCTGGGTGATTTCGCTTGGAAAGTTGCTTAATGAGTCTGCAAAAGAGGAACTTTTAAGTCTTCAGGAGGAGATTGAGGTAGATGCTTTCACTTCTTTTTTTCCTGATAGAGTTAGCACTGAGTAGCAGCTGATTATTTGAACCTCTCTCTCAACTGATAGAAACTAGTTGGTGTACTCTGGTATGCCATTCAGCAAAGAAATGAGCTGCACTCTCTGCAGCTGGGAAACAGGAGAGAATAGTGAGGTGAAAAAAAAAAAGTAGTGTTGAAAGTTTCATACTTTCAGTATGAAAGTTTCAGTTCGATATGTGATCATTATCACACTGACTAAAATTAAAAATGAATCTTCATATTCCCTATTTTGATTTTTGTTTGACTCATAATTACAATTCTGATGAGTTATTCTGTCGGTGTTGCTTCTGAAAGTTGTCTTTGCTTTTTACAGAGATTATCACTGGATCTTAAGACACCACCTGATTCCCTGGAAGATCTCAAATTTGTCCTTGGTACAATTGCAGAGATCAAAGACATAACCTTCAAGGTCGAACTGAGATATCTGGACATCCAGGAGAGATACCGAACTCTTGCAATGTACAATATTCCAGTGAGTGTCTTGTCTCATAAAATATTTACAGTTTGGGCTAGAGGTACAGTTGCCTTACATGGCAATGAATAAATCTTTCCCTCCTAAAGTATTTTACAGAATCTTAGAATTGTTGAACTTTGAAGGGATGTCTGGAAATTCTCTAGTTCAACTCCCCACTTCTCAGATCAATATATCCTTTTTAAATGGACATACTGCATTTGTTTAAATCTGATTCAGATAAGTCAAATGCTTTTTTTAAAGTTTTGTAAATTTAATACTGTGATCATATCTTCTTCACTTTCTTGAGTCTTTTTTGCTTATGTGAGATGTTACTTGTTTTGTTTTAGGTACCTAAGGAAGAGCAAGAGATGGCTAACAAGATTAGGGAAAAGTGGGAGGCTCTTTTAGCTGAGGCATCGGATGTTGATCACAGCCTTGGAAGCATAAAAAAGACATTTACAGAGGTAATATTTGTAACATTGTAAAAAACTAGAAATAGAAATGCAAACAATTTAAACATTGTTCTTTTTAGATTACACGGCAGCAAGTGGGGGACTACAGGAAAGAGATAGCAGATTTTTTCCATAGATTCACAACAGAGGGACCCGGTGCTGTTGGGGAAGATCTTGATAGAGGTAAATAGTTTGATGTTTGTGAAGTGATGTCTGCACATTATTAGTCTTTGGACAATGCTTCAAATTTTATGCTAAATGAGAAAGTTATGATTCCTTATTAAAATGCAAACCGATCACTCAAGAATGTGACATTTTTAATACTGTAACTTCTATAGAGTATAAGACTATATACAAGTTCTGCCTTGTTTGTCTGTCAACATCCATAGGAATGCTCATCTAGAAAACTTTCTCTCCTAGGATTGGAACTCATGGACATTTTTGAAAAAGAATTGGAAGATCTGGAAGAAAGTCATCAGGAACTGGGCAATGCTGAGAAACTTTTTGACTTGCCAATCACATTATACCCTGAGTTAATTAAAGCACAAAATGATATGAGAGGCCTAAAGCAGATCTATGAAATTTATAAATTACAAAGAGTAAGTATTGCACTGTGCGTATACAAACATACACACTTATATATATGCACATACAGAGAGAGAATGGGGAGAGAGAGAGAGAAAGACAGAAGGGACTGGGCTGTACTCTTGTTGCTATCATCTCTGCTCCTAAGCTTTCGCATGAAATCAGCTGTCATCTTTAACTGACTATCACTATGATATAGATTTAGTAATGATAGTAAAAGAGTAAAACCATACTGAAATAGTGGGCCAAGCACATACTATTACTGAATAGGAACGGGTCTTGATTGTCTGGAGTGGTGTCTTACTGCACAGAAGGCCTTATGATTTCAGTGGGACTCTGTGTTCCGATCACAGTAGGTATCTCTGGCCTTAATTGGTCTTAAAGAGCTATTTAGTAGTTTGTTATTGTTGTTGCTTTTTTTCCCCCAAAATTCAGATACCTTATCTTTAAGGGCTGGGCTGATCTCCTGTAATGTATATTATGGATGTGCTTCCTGTTCTATACAACTGGTTGTATTTGGCTATGAATATCTCTTGGACATGAACCTGTGTCTGTAAAATGTTAAATACAATCGCATCTGCATCCAGTCTGTGGTCTCTACATCTAAAAGGGAATGTGATTTTTTTTTTCTCCTTATGACTTTGCTCCCAGGAAGCTAAAGAGGAATGGTCTCAGACACTCTGGATAAACCTAAATGTTCAGGTTCTTCAGGAAGGAATTGAAGGATTTCTTAAAGCCCTTCGAAAGCTGCCCAAACAAGTTCGCAGCATGCCAGTGGCCTTTCACTTGGAAGCAAAAATGAAGGCATTTCGAGACTCCATTCCTTTGTTGCTTGATTTAAAAAATGAAGCTTTAAGAGACAGGTTTGATCTGATTTATTTAAATCCATTATTCTGTATACAAGGAGATTTTGTTTGTTTTGTGAGAACTTTTAATTTCACATACTGGGATCTTGCTTTACATTCTGTTTAATAAACTTGTGTAATAACTTGTAGGGAAGGCTAGGATACCTGGTATATTCAAAGTACTATTTCTTGTTAAGTAGTAGAATAGAAAAATATTGTGACGTGATTATGTATTATACTACATCTTATACATATGATGTATTCCATCAGCTTTACTGTATCATAGTGTCAGGTATCCTTCTTGATATGTCCATTTAACACACAGACATTGGCAAGAGCTTATGGAGAGAACAGGAACAAGTTTTGAAATGACAACAGAAACATTCACTTTGGAGAATATGTTTGCTATGGAGCTTCACAGACATTCAGATGTTATCAGCGAAATAGTTGGAACTGCTGTTAAGGAGCTTAGCATTGAGAAGGTAACTTTAAAAGCCATATTAAAACTAAAAAGGCATAGATGACAACAGTCTTTGTCTTTATGTGAGGTGTTTATTGGCATGATAATAAAGTCTGTCGTCTTCCGGGATCTGCTGTGATGTGACTGATCATAACTAGATCAATAGCTTGGTTAATAAGCTATAGCATGGCACATTAGCTGTTTTGGCTTTGGCAGCATATTGGATTTTTGTCATTACCTTAAGTGATTTTGGCTTACAAAAACAGATCTGAAGAAGAATCTGTTGTTTTGGCATAGTCACTTTATAAACTAGAGTAAGAAAATATGTGCAAAAATTATGCTGAACTATGGTTCTATTTTTATGTTCGGATTGTAATTCTCTACCTTTTGAAGACTGAAAAGCTCATCTCTATGCTGTTATGCAGGGTGTGAAGGAAATAGTAGATACATGGGAACATATGAAATTCACTGTACAAAAATACTTCAAAGGCACTCAGGAACGAGGCTTTATTCTGGGATCTGTGGATGAAATTATACAGATTCTTGATGACAACACTGTCAATCTTCAGAGCATTTCAGGCAGCCGATTTGTGGGCCCTTTCCTGTCAACTGTTCATCACTGGGAAAAAACTCTCTCATTGATTGGTGAAGTAATTGAGGTAAGGAGCAAAGTGCTTGACTAAATAATTAATGTTTATTGTTTATAATCAGGGCTTTCCATTGTATTTTTTTCTTTGATGGTAACATGTGACTTTCTTAGATCTGGATGGTGGTTCAGAGAAAATGGATGTATCTGGAGAGCATCTTTATTGGTGGGGATATAAGATCACAACTTCCAGATGAAGCAAAAAAATTTGATAGCATAGACGCGATGTTTAAAAAGGCAAGTAACTGACTGACACTAAATCATGAGCAAAGTCATGATCCTTAGCTGGCAGTATTGGGATGCAGAATCCCCTTTGCCTTCTATTAGATAGACTTTTTTACTGCAGTAGGGAGATTAGATGCATTTCTGTAGGCTGAGGAGCTGTGTCTGCTAAAAAGGCTTTCCTGCTGTATTATCAACCTTTCTATACTGAACTCATGCTCCTGGTATGGCTTTTCTTTTTCCTATCTACAAAATTGAAATAATACTGTGATTCTGAAATGCTGTATGTATTTTTCACTTGAATACCACTGTATACTGAAGCAAAGTTCTTATGGCAAAGTACGTTCTTATGTTTGGTGTCTTGGGATACAAACTTCTCTCTCTCACACTTGTGTTATGACAGTATCTCCTATTCATGCTGTCAGCTGTGACAACATACCATATCCATATGTTCCTATAGCACAGCAAAAATGGTCAATGATATTTAAACTACCTCAAAATCAAGTCTGTGAGAACTTAGATTGCTCCTGTATTTTGCTAAATATAATTCCATATAATGCATTGCTCTTCAGTATTTTCTAAACTTCTTTTTCTCCCCGTGTAGATAATGGATGAAACTGTAAAAGAACCAATAATAAAAAAATGCTGTGAAGCCCCAAATCGACTGTCAGACCTCCATCATATAAATGATGGACTAGAAAAATGTCAGAAAAGCTTGAATGATTATTTGGATTCAAAGCGAAATGCATTCCCAAGATTTTTCTTTATATCTGATGAGGAATTGCTTAGTATCCTTGGCAGCAGTGACCCACTGTGTGTCCAGGAACACATGATAAAGGTAACATGTTCAGTTTTTCCCAATGCCCTTTCCTTATAGATGTTTTAGAGTTTAACAGGCAATCCTGAACATTATGTTGAGGGTGTGCTAATATTTTTTACCCATAAAGAATATCTTCTGAGTAACCAAGTGAAATATAGTCCGTGGTCTGTCTTGTCTCTTGCACAGATGAGTATCAGTCATAGTACAAGGTTTGAGATGCTCTGCAATTATTAGTCATGATATTACCTTCTTGTACCTCTTGATAGATTTTTATTTTCCATGGAAAAAAAATGTAATTTGAGTCAGATTTATCTGCCTGTTTATTCTCCAGTTTGGTTTATGAGAATTCATCAGCATTTGCATTTGATTACTTAAAATTGGATCTATTTCTCTTTAAAGTCCATAGAAATTTCCTTTCAACTTTAAATGAGGGTTAGCTACACTTAAATTGTAGAAGCTTGGATTTTCAGATGTCAGTTAGTTTCTTTCTTGATGCATTTCAGATGTATGATAACATAGCTTCCCTGAGGTTTCGGGATGGTGATAGCGGTGAGAAGATTGCAACAGCCATGATTTCAGCCGAGGGAGAGGTGATGGAGTTCCGCAAGGCTGTAGCTGCAGAAGGCAGAGTGGAGAACTGGATGACAGCAGTGCTAGCAGAAATGAGACGAACTAATAGGCTTCTTACTAAAGAAGCCATTTTTCGATACTGTGAAGACAGAAGCAGGTGAAACAATCAGTGCATGAAAGATAACATAAATAGCCTTATATGGTATTATGAGCCTGTAGCAATTTAGAAATATAGAGACTTCATTTTTTTTCATTTATACATAGCTTAGCCTCTATTTCTGTGGGTGGGGAACTATGGATACATGCACATATAATTTTGTATATCATTCCTTAAGTCTTGAATATTCAGTTTTAGTGATGTGTGTTGTGTGCAGTTTGTTTTTCTCATTAGCTATTGCACTTTGACTGCACATATGGAATAGGTAATTTTTCCATGGGAGATTTTTTATGATCTTACCTTGACAGAATTCTACGCATTCTGCCTGTACTGTAGTTACTGTAGAAATAAAGTGATACCTTCTCATAAACAGTAACTCAGACTCCCTCGCTATGTTTATTCCTCATAGGGTTGAATGGATGTTACTCTACCAAGGCATGATGGTGCTGGCTGCTAACCAGGTGTGGTGGACCTGGGAGGTAGAAGATGTGTTTCGGAAAGTGAAAAAGGGAGAAAAACAGGCAATGAAAGTTTATGCTAAAAAAATGCATCAGCAAATTGATGACCTGGTTACCTGCATTACAAAGCCCCTGAGTAAAAATGACAGGAAAAAATACAACACTGTTCTTATTATTGACGTTCATGCCAGAGATATTGTTGATACATTTGTAAGAGACAGGTAAACCCTCCAACCTATTTTGAAAATACCAAATCTATTATTTATATTCCCATCCTTTTCCTTAATGTGACCAAGCCTCTCTTGTGTAGCATTCTGCAGGCTCAGGAGTTTGAATGGGAAAGTCAGCTACGCTTTTACTGGGATCGAGAGCCGGATGAACTGAATGTGCGGCAGTGCACGGGCACGTTTTCCTATGGTTATGAGTATATGGGTTTGAATGGACGACTTGTCATCACGCCACTTACAGATCGCATTTATCTTACACTCACACAGGTATATATGTTCAAGGACGTTTTGCTAACATGCTCTTTTAAATTAGTCTTCTCTGTAGTCACATAGTTATTTCATTGTGGCTTGGCTATCTCTTAGGAGACAATCTGAACATTGTTGTATTTGAAATAAGTTGCAATATCCTTCTAAAGACCAGTTGTAGTATTTTCAAAGATAATATAAAGGGGATTTACAGGTCACAATATAAGACTTTTTGTACCCAAAGATTTCTTGTTAACAACTGGCGATGGTTGTTAGCAATCTAATACTAATATAATCAGAGCTTTGCTTTTTGGTTTGTCTCCAAAGGCTTTATCCATGTTTTTGGGAGGAGCACCAGCAGGGCCAGCAGGTACAGGGAAAACAGAAACAACCAAAGACCTGGCCAAAGCCCTGGGCTTGCTGTGTGTAGTGACTAACTGTGGCGAAGGCATGGATTTCAAAGTAAGAGTTAAAACATTGTTTTCTCTGACAAAAGAATCTGCAATCTCCTCTTGATAAGTAAATTTTAGAAGAGCCTATGACAGGTTTCTGGCTCCTTTATCAAAAGCTCATTGTCTATAAATATCCAGAGGTTCTTACCACTTTTTAAAAGTTTTAGGGTACTCCGATGTTTGCTGATGCTGAGAGTTTTATATACCTTTTGTTGAGACTTTTTTCCTCTTTTTAAGGCTGTAGGTAAAATTTTCTCTGGTCTTGCCCAGTGTGGAGCATGGGGATGTTTTGATGAATTCAATCGTATTGATGCTTCTGTACTTTCAGTCATTTCTTCTCAGATTCAAACTATTCGAAATGCATTAATGAATCATCTGAAAACATTTCAGGTAAACATTAGCAGTCAAGAATAAGTATGAAAGCTGGTCTCGTGCTTGAGGCTAAGATTCAGGGAAATTCCTCACTAAGTCAAATAATTGTTTCTTCTGTTATACATCTGTGCAGAACTTTTCAAACTACAGAATATGTTGTCTCTGTTTCAGACATATTAAATCCTTATCTATTTTTTAGTTGCATGCTAGGCTCTTTCTTTGTAAAGAAGAATATTAGTAATCTTATAATGGTAAAAAGGATAATAGTAATTAGGAATAAAAGTAAGTTAAGCTGATAAGCTTATTGATGTTTATAAGATTTGGGATTCTCAGACAGAAAAATTGACCAAGAAGTGCGAAATGTCTTGATCATTATATCTAGGGTGCACATAGTCAGGTGAATGTATCCAGGTGAATATCTAAAGCTAATATTTTGGAATATTTTATCTTAAGTAGGTTTCATAATAATACTGTTTTTCTCTTTTTAGTAAATGTTGCTATTTCTTTTGATTACAAATGCACATTTTACTAGCATTTCCTTACGTTTTCAGTTTGAAGGACAGGAAATTACTCTTGATAACCGAATGGGCATCTTTATTACTATGAATCCTGGCTATGCTGGTCGGACTGAGCTCCCCGAGTCTGTAAAAGCTTTGTTCAGGCCTGTGGTTGTTATTGTACCAGATCTCCAGCAAATCTGCGAAATCATGCTGTTTTCTGAAGGGTTCCTTATGGCAAAGGTAAGAAAATTGTGCTGCTCTCCTTATGAATATACACACATTTGTATACACAGTCAGTGTTTGGTTGTGACTTATGTGCTTATGATGCTCTAACTTATCTCTCAAATAGACCCTTGCCAAAAAGATGACAGTACTATACAAGTTGGCTAAAGAACAACTTTCTAAACAACATCATTATGACTTTGGTCTGCGGGCCCTCAAGTCAGTGTTGGTGATGGCTGGAGAGCTGAAGAGAGGATCAGCTGAGCTCAATGAGGTAGACCAGTGACTTAGTTGGTCTGGACAGATTACCTTTCTCATTAGGAAGATGTTGTGATTACAAATCTGCTATAGTATGCATGCCTTAGAGATAGTGGCACTTGTCACTGTTTTTTGCTGAGTTTCCTTGTCCCCTCCATGACCAAGTTAGCATCAGAATGCAAAGTAACGAAAACAATTAAAACTGAAGTATTTTACTCCTTGATGTGTATTTTGAGTGTGATCTTGATTTTAAGTGCAACATACAAATAGGCAGTTGAATGAATCTGGATGTTTCCTTCTGCTATGTTTTGTTTAGGATGTCGTACTGATGAGAGCTCTACGAGATATGAATCTTCCTAAATTTGTGTTTGAAGATGTACCTCTCTTTCTTGGCCTGATCTCTGACTTATTTCCTGGCCTGGATTGTCCTCGAGTCCGTTATCCTAACTTTAATGATGCTGTAGAACAAGTGCTGGAAGAAGAGGGTTATGTTGTTCTACCAGTCCAGGTAAAATAATAATAATAAAAAGAAGTTGATTGCTTGAATTTTGTCACAAACATTAGTGTTGGTCTGCATTGCTGCACTCTGGAATGACTCCTGCAAATCGGGAGAGCTTAGCTAGTGTGATGTAGCTGCAGATCTGGTCCATAGATGATTTACAGCCAGTGTTCTATAAACCGTATTTTTTTTTCAGGTGGATAAAGTAGTTCAGATGTATGAGACAATGTTAACTCGTCACACTACAATGGTGGTTGGACCTACAGGAGGTGGCAAGTCTGTTGTCATTAATGCTTTGTGCCACGCCCAAACCAAGTGAGTACAGAATTTGATACATGGAAATCTGGTTGTAAAATGACACAGTCTATAGACTGCCATGTGTAGTCATGATAGGATCTATAGTTGACTATAAAATTTGGGTTAGCATGAGATGGTGTGGAAAAGCAGTCTTAATACTTTTATTTCTATGTCTTTAGGCTGGGATTATTGACAAAGCTTTACACACTGAATCCTAAAGCTATGAGTGTGATTGAGCTATATGGGATCCTTGACCCTACCACACGAGACTGGACAGATGGAGTCCTGTCAAACATCTTCCGGGATATCAACAAGCCTACTGACAAGAAAGAGCGAAGGTAGAGAGCTAGAAATCATCATCATCATTTTTAGATACTCTTCACTTTTATGTTGATATTGTGTTGTTGTTATAACATAAAAGATTTGATACTGCATATTTTCAAAAATAAATGTAAAATGAACAGGAAGTCTGTAGGGGTTTGTCTGTCTTCCCTTGTGAGTTTCCAGCCTCAGTGAGGTGAATGGAAACTATTCAAGTATCAAAAATGCACGGAAGGCTTCAAAGCATGGGTACTGGCACAAACACTTTGGAGGAGGATCTATATTCTGAAATAAATGTTAGTTAAAATGGAGAAAATCAGTCATTGGGTCAATTGACTTCTGTATCCATAGGTACATTCTGTTTGATGGAGACGTGGATGCTCTCTGGGTGGAAAATATGAATTCTGTGATGGATGACAACAAACTATTGACCTTAGCAAATGGGGAGCGAATTAGGCTCCAGGCACATTGTGCTCTGTTGTTTGAGGTAAGTGATGACTGTACAATATAACACACAGGAAAGGTTAGAACCAACTTCGTCTGCAAAGACTGAAAAGCAATTGCTGTGGCTGTTTTTCGTTGTTAAGGTGTATGATTATCTTACATAATTATTTCATAGGTTGGAGATTTACAGTATGCATCTCCTGCCACAGTATCCCGCTGTGGAATGGTCTTTGTAGATCCTAAAAATCTGAAATATAAACCTTACTGGCAAAAATGGACCCAAGAAAGAGGAAATGAGGTAGGAATTTTTGCACTTGATCAGAGTGTCTGTATTAAATAATGACCTGTGGACAAATGTTAAAAAAATCTCTGTAAAGGCAGTCTGATTTTATGAACTCCCTTGTAATTTATTTATTATGAAGGCCCCTGTCTCTGAGTTCCATTACATATGTAAATACAAACTAGCTCACCTTTGATTTTTATAATGGAATTTGAGAAGTGAAAATCTAAGAAATTATCTAATCCACAAAGAGTTAACAGAGAGATTGCTTAGGTCCTTGTTGCATACATTCAGATTTAAAACTCTAGTTCACAGCAAACTGAAGCAAGAAAATTTAGTTGTTATCAGCTGATGATTGTAGAGTAACACCTCCTGAAGTAACAGTCCATACAAGTGTCACATTTCTTCCTGTCTTCCCTTTGATTGAAGTGAGGTCTTCAGGAATAATCACAGTTGGTTAATGAGATAGTGATGAGAAACATTGCTGCCATAAAACAGCTTTCAGTGTTTGTATGTGCTGAATTATTGTCCCTTTCTTCCTGCAGCAAGAGAGAAATGAATTGAATCATCTTTTTGAAAAATATGTGCCTTACCTTATTGATATGATCACAGAGGGAATTGTGGATGGCAGACAAGGAGAAAGGCTGAAGACCATTGTTCCTCAAACAGATTTAAATATGGTGAGGAATGCAAAGTAATGGTGAAAATATGAAACTAAATTATGGAGAGAATAAAGATCTGCCAAAGAGGATGCAGTAGTAGAGCCCGTACTGAAATGTCAGTTTTGCAGTGATCAGCAGCAGGAGACAATAGAAAGAATTGTTTCCTTATAGTGCCCTTCTGTGGTCATTAATACTCATGCTAATAGATAGTACTTGTAAGGACAAAGGATCATGAAACACTCAGGCAGCTGAGAGAGATGTTAAGAGATTTCATGCTATTAATTGTCAATTCTGTTTGCATGTCTTGTCTTACAACAGGTAGTGCAGTTAACTATGATGTTGGAAGCTCTAATCGTGACACAATATGATGAGCCTGATGTTCTGGAGTGTTTTTTCTTGGAAGCTTTATATTGCTCCCTAGGTGCTGCTCTTCTTGATACTGGAAGAATTAAGTTTGATGAAACAGTTAAACGTCTTTCCTCTATGTCTACTGTTCATGATGATAACGTCCTAGCTAAGCCTGGGGAGTTACCAGGTAGGATTTTCTCATAATTTACTTTGATTCTCTTTGATTAGAGTAACAAGGGCTTTGTTTCCATGAAGGTGGAGCATTGTTCTTCCTTCCAGCTACCTTGATGATCCCTGTAGAACTACCACCGAAAACCCTGCAAAGACAGTAATGTTGAATCACTTTCAATTGCGGGTCTATTCTCAAGCAATGTTTTTCTATGTAAAGCTGAAGAGAGCCAGTGGTAACCAGTGGAAGGATGCTTCAAAAAAGGGTGATATGATCCTTGTACTAGCCTAGAAAAATTGTGGTTGATTAACCTGTTGAATACCAAGTAAATGGAACACACAGTTGTACCACTTAGTCCCAAATCTTTTTATTTTCCTCTCAGATTATTTTCTCATGAAATATTTAAGTACTCTAGAAAATCTCCAATTGCTAAATGCTTTGCAGGTCAACTACCAACTTTGTATGACTTCCATTTTGATGTCTTAAAAAAAAGGTGGATACCTTGGATGAAACTTGTTCCTGAATATATTCATATACCTCAAAAGAAATTTCTTGACATTCTAGGTAAGTTATAACGATGATGTATTTTTATAATGTGCTGCTACTGAGTGATGGGACTTGAATGAGATGTCTTCTATGTGTAGTGAAGGTCATTTGATCACGTTCGGCTTCTTGCGACAACACAGTTCTGTTTCTTCAATGATCTTGCCATGGTAGTTCAGATGGAGTAGAGCTGAGCTTTGTAACACTGTATAATAAATAAAGAGGTGAGGAAAGAAGTAAAAACTTGATTTAGTTATTAAGGTTTTTTTAGGAGTGAACAATGCCTTTTCCAAGCCAGAAGAGCAAAGATAGATTCAAAGTTTTCTCTATTAAAAACACTAGAAAAAGTCTCTAACCACTGGTTTAATATGCTTTAATATGCTTAGTAGATTAAAAGAAAATCTTAGGGTTGTTATCTGTTTTTATTTCAAGTGCTCCCTAATGGTGACAAGTGCTTTTTATAGTTAATGACAAATTAACAGATATTATTTTATAGTAGTACTTCATCAAGTACAGGTTAACTTCACTGACAGAGAGAAATGATTTCTAAATACATTTCTGAGTGCAGATTATTCATAAAGAACAAAATTCTTATCTGTAGAGTACCAGGAAAATGCTTATGATCAAATAAATCCTGATAATATCTTTGAAATAGGACTTAAACAGAGCTTAAACAGAAGGTCCATGACCTTCCTATGTGGAGAATAATTTCCTTTCTAATATTTATGTAGAAGAAAAGATCTCTGTGCTAAAAGCTCAAACAAGATGTAGCTGAGCAATTAAAATTTTCCTGCAACATTGTTAGTAAGTTGATAATTCTCACTATACATTTGTGCAACTGCACATTAATACCTTGTGTCTCTGATCCAGCACTGTTCTATAAATATAAATCCCTCAGCTGTACTGCATTTTAATTTGACCTACTATTATATCCGTGATTTTATTTCAGTGCCTACGGTGGATACCACACGCACTACTTGGTTGCTAGAACAGATGGTAAAAATAAAACGCCCAGTTGTTCTTGTAGGTGAATCAGGTACTTCAAAAACTGCAACTACACAAAACTTCCTAAACCAACTGAACAAAGACTTTAATGTACGTATGAGGCATTTCATGATGTTCGTAAAGCTGCATTTTCCTTCTTTGTTTTTTTGTTAAATTTACATTTTGAAGCCTGAGTCTGTGGGTAGAAGTAGTGACTTTGATGGAGCTTCACATAGGAAGAGAGATTGACTGCAAGCTCAGGCCCAAAGCCCGTGAAAGACTTGAGAATCTTTCAGAATTTAATACATTTTGTTCAGTTCTACCACACAGAGATTCAATTTTATAAAGTAAATATACGTGCTAAGAAAAAGGATTTGACTTTTTTTTCATCTGTAATTCAAGTTAATAACTAGACCAGAGCAATGTTTCATCTACTAGGAAGAAGAAGGAAAAAAAGAATGTAAAAATCTAATCTTATTCATTTCCTGTCCTCTGCAGCTGCTGCTAATAATTAACTTTTCTTCTCGCACAACATCAATGGACATTCAGAGAAACCTAGAGGCAAACGTAGAGAAACGAGCTAAAGACACTTATGGTCCCCCTATGGGAAAACGTCTCCTCGTTTTCATGGATGATATGAATATGCCAAGGGTAAGCTGCCAGAGTATGGGCAAGTTAATAGAGCAACATGTGGACTGGTACTGATGTGGTTCCTTCATGGAGAGATGCAGGGAGATTCATGTCAAATGCATAACTGTGTTTTAGCTTAGGGTCTTCAGAAGAAATAGTTTACAGTAGTGATTATTTTTTTCTATTACAATAGGGGTTCTGTATATTAGAACTGTCTCTTTTTGGAGACACCCTTTTAGATCATTTCTCTATGCCACTGAAATCACATGTTTGTGGCCTGATACTGGCTGAAGTTGGTCTTCTGTAGAAAGCATCCTTTCCCTTTATGAACTGCACAGAATGGTATTTATTTACCTTGGAGAAGAGGTGCTTTTCCCATGTGAGACATTGGCATGAATGCTTTCAATCAGCTAGAGCTTTACAAACTGTCACTTAGACCTTCTAAAATTCTATTAAGTGTAGAGCTCAATATTTCCACATATATCGCAGACATTGTCATTGTCAACCTGGTGCACTGCCCTCTAAATATCTTGACTCTTTTGCATTACAAAGGTTGATGAGTATGGCACACAGCAACCCATTGCCTTGTTGAAGCTGCTGCTAGAAAGAGGTTTCTTGTATGACCGCGGGAAGGAGATGACCTGTAAAATTCTTCGAGACCTGGGTTTTATTGCTGCCATGGGGAAGGCTGGAGGAGGTCGGAATGAGATTGACCCTCGATTCATCTCACTCTTCAGTGTATTTAATGTACCTTTTCCTTCTGAGCAATCACTGAATTTGATCTATGCCTCCATCCTGAAAGGCCACACCGAGGTAATTTTATTGTATTAAAAAGGCTGCTTAAATGGCTTACTACTTTTAAATAGATATTTATTTCCATATTATCAAAAGACCTGAAGTCCTCTTTATCAGTTTTCCAGCTTTTTATTTAGAACCTCATACCCTTCCTTTCCTCTTCCCTTCTTAAGACATGTGTTTTCACAGAGCTGATCAATACATGAATAATATGTAAACTTTCAAGCTAGGAGATAATTTGTAAATCCAGTGCTCTTTTAGTAGGTTGAAATCTATTAACCATTTGCTTATGGTTCTGTAACCAAATCCCCAGGTTCAGCAAATGCTTTCTTGACGAGAGTGAAAATTTTAATTTAAATTGGTGAAGTGCATAACTAAGTAACTAAACTGCAAGAGAAGAGCAATTTATTTATTCTGTTATGGAAGTGCTGTAGAAATTCCAGTCATGGAATGGAGCATGACCATATCATCTTCAGCACAGTACAAGCCCAGGACCTTGCTCAAAACATTTAACTGTAGGATGTCCATACAACACACTAATGTCAATTTCTGAAAATGTTTGCCCTCAGTTATTTGAAATATGTCAAGAAAGGATAGAAGTTGTAAAGCAGAATATGTTTGAGAGCATTCAGTTCTTTGTGGGAAATCTCCTGAAAACACCTCTTTCTTCTCATGTTTGCAGATGTTTAATGAGTCTATAGCAACCATCGCTGACAAGATGACAGCGTGTACTTTGGAGCTTTATAAAATGATTGTCCATGACCTACCCCCTACTCCTTCCAAGTTCCATTACATTTTCAATCTGCGGGATCTTTCGAGGGTGTATAACGGGCTTGTTCTTACAACTCCGGGGAGGTAAGAATAGAAAAAATGTCTTTAGTGGCCTTATGCCCATTTATACTGGATGAATCTAGGTGAAGAGGAGATGAAAAATATTCACCATTGGTCACTGTTTACAGAACCATCACCATATAGAGGAAAAATATTCTTTCTTAAATAGAGTATCTAGAGGTAAAGATGGAAACAAGCGAATTATTCTTCCTTATGAGGGGGGAAAAAAAAAAGATGGAAAAAGCCAATGCAGACTTTGATCAGTGTTATTAACCACCTGGCCTTAGGGATCTTATTGACTCATCTGGTGCAGTCTGATATTTTGATGTTAATGCAGGTTCCAAACAGTTGCCCAGATGGTGAGAGTCTGGAGAAATGAGTGTCTGAGGGTTTTCCATGACAGGCTGATTAATGAAGCAGACAAGGCATTGGTGAGTAATTTCTTTCCTCTTTAGTAGTCAGTGACTCTATTACTAATTTACAAGGGCAGCATTACCAACTGTTGCACTCATGTCCTTGCAGACAGACTGCAGACTTTTCTGACCATTCTGTTGCTCCATTAATTTAAAATAATGGTCCATGGAGGTTTTTTATTTATTATTTATTTTTTCTCTAAAATAAAATGACTGTAGAAGAGTAAATGAGCAGATCTGCACAGATCACTGCAGAGTGTCAGTGGCTTCACTGGTCCAGGAAATATTGTTTAGCAATGCCACAGGTGACATAAATGAAGGTGAGAGCAATGCAGGTGGAAATGGAGGAAATTGCTTCCTCCTTAAGTCAGTACCTTCCTTTGGGAGGACTGTGTCAGAATATGACTATACAGTAAAGTGTGTTGCGGGGGAGGAAAGGGTATGAGTTGAGCTCTTACAAAATGCATTCAGTTTTGGCAATTATGCAGACTGGAAAATGATCCAAAATGCATCTTAAAAGAGAGAACCAAGACAACTTTATACCTTGAAATTTAGAGGAGGATTTGGACAAAGTCTACGTTTCTGTAAGCATCTTGCCTAGATGGAAAGAGTTAGATTTCAGTGGCTTGTTTAAAATTTTCTCCTCAAACATAAAAGACATATTTCCTGCTCAATTTTCCCAACTCAGAATAATTATACTGCAATTTTTATGTATTTGTACATTCATGCATACCTCAAGATTCATGAGAAGTATTGGGAGCCAGATATAAGTATAAATGCTGAAAAGAAAGGCTGATTAATATTTATGCCAAAATACAATAATGTATTTTTTGTAATAAGGTTATTATTTCTTGCCTTAAAATTCTGCACTCCACTGTCTTGAATAGTTCCTGAATTGTTTATTAGGTCATTTTAGATTATACACAGAATATATTAGAACACTGTGATCTTCAGGCTTCTTAGTGACATCAATATCCCCTTGATATCAGGTGATACTTGAGCAAGAATTTGCATCAACACCCCTCTAAATGTTCCTATATTCAGAATCACCTGCTCTGTTGGCTTGCCTGACTCTTTCATGTGCTTGAAGGTACAAGGCCATATAAAGCACCTGATTGAAGAGAATTTCCCGGATGACTTGGAGCAGGCCATGAGGGATCCTATTCTTTTTGGAGATTTCAGAATGGCACTGAGTGAAGGAGAGCCTCGTATTTATGAAGATATTCAAGACTATGATGCAGCAAAAGCTCTCTTTCAGGTAATGTGCTTCAGCCTGGAACTTTGCCTGTTTCTGACTGTGTACATGAGGAAGCAGAAGGAGCCTGACTCAAACTATAAAGAAATCCATTCTTCTCTATGGACATAGAATTTTCATCGTTTTGAGGTCTTCAATAATGAAAATAGCAGATCAGCTGCAGACTGCACAGTGCTTTCCAGTGATTTATGTTCCCTGGGGTTCTTTTATGTAGTGTGGCTCTAAATGGGTTGTTATTTTAGTAACATAACTCTTTCCCTGGTCTCCTAGTAATTTTTTGTCCTTTCTCTGCACCTTTCTCTGCAGGAGATTTTGGAAGAATACAATGAAGTTAATATTAAAATGAATCTGGTTCTTTTTGATGATGCTCTGGAACACCTAATCCGTGTACATCGCATCGTACGGATGGACCATGGCCATGCCCTGCTCATAGGAGTAGGAGGCTCAGGCAAGCAGTCCCTTACAAGACTGGCTGCTTATACAGCTGGATGTGAGGTTAGTGACCCAGCACCTTCACAGTGAAAGCACACAAAGAAAACAATATTGGTACCAAGATTAACCTGCGGTGGCAGAGGAAGGGGAAAGACAGTCAATGAAGGTAAAATCGGGGTGGCACCTCTTCCCTGTAAGTCGAGAAATACAGTGGAGTGGTTGCCAGAAGCACTAAGAAGACAAATCACAAATTTATTGTCAGTACCCAGATGTGGGGATGGAAAACAAAGATGGATTTGGGAGCAAAAAACTAATAGTCCCTAACTACTGTTTGTGTTGTTTACCTGTATTAGAGCGACATTCTTCTTGAGGAATTTTACTGTGATTGATACAGTAATATTTTCAGATAGGAATTGTTCTTCCAAAGATACTCTCAGTTTCTTGTGGAAGTCGGTAGCTTGGGAAGGAAGGAAAAAAAAAAGGGGGGAACACAAGAAATTTTGGAAGTGCAATCCTTCATGATTATACATTATTTAAAAGGGAGTGTAGTGCATTTTTTTGATATTATACATTTATTGGTGATAAAAGAATCAAACCAAAATGGATGTTGAGTTTCAGATTTAATACGAGGTCTTGGGTCCATATATGTCTTCTGAGTGTATGTTTGAATCCTTAGGTGTTTGAGATCATCTTGAGTCGAGGATATGGGGAAAATAACTTCCGAGAAGATCTGAAAAAATTGTATCTAAAGCTGGGTATTGAGAACAAGTCAATGATCTTCTTGTTTACGGATTCCCATGTAGCAGAAGAGAGTTTCCTGGAACTCATCAACAACATGTTAACTTCAGGTAAATGTAAACAATATCCTTCCTGCCTCTGGATCTTTCCCACCCTCTCTCTCATTCTATTCCCATTCTGTTTATGTATGTTAGATAACTTATGCAATATTAGCCATGTGATTGAGAGAAGTAAAATATGAATTGATGATCTGCAGTCATTAAAGACATTAAAGATTTTTTTGCAGAGTGGAAAGCACTTTGTGTTGTTGTGACATTTTATGTTGTTGAAGCCTGAACAAAAATGAAATAATTATTTAAATTCCCATGCAGCATCCTAAGTACTTCCTCTCTATTTTCCATGAAGAGGGAGAAGAAGCATAGAGGTTCAGAACTACCCGGGATCATTTTTGCTGACCCTAGGGTTAGAATTCCTGACTCTCTGCTTTCTGATGTGCCCTGTCCCCAGCCATATGGTTTTCTGTTACAGTCAGCATAGTTCTCACCAGCGTTCTTCTGTTCTTATGTTGCAGGAATGGTGCCAGCCCTTTTTCCAGATGATGAAAAAGACACCATATTAAGTCAAATTGGAGATGAAGCTACTAAAGCTGGAATGAGCCCAGCTAAAGAGAGTGTCTGGCAATATTTTGTAAATAAATGTGCATCCAACCTCCATATTGTCCTAGGAATGTCCCCAGTTGGGGACACTCTGAGAATGTGGTGCAGGAATTTTCCAGGTATCAATTATATATAATGTGTAGTCCATTCCCTGTAAGATATGAGTTTGCAGGCAAAAGAAGGTCTCTGCTAGACATAGACACATGTTGGACAACTAAAGCTAAGCAGAGGAGGTTTCATAATTAAACATTTGTAGTGTGCAATTTTTTTTCCTGCAATTAATTACCACATATTGGTAAGAATTATTGATTAACGTTTACCAGATGAGTTCATTTTCCGCTTAAACAGCAAGAAATCAATTGGTCATTCTCACTCAACTGGAAATATATAAACGGCCTGTGCCTACAGCATCTTATCCCTCTTTTTACAGAGGAATGTGTGTTAATAAATCCTTATAAAACTAAGGTGATGGTAAGAGAAACATTTTTTTTTTTAATTATCTAAAGCCAAAGTTAAAGAAGGGCAAGGTCAGAGGGGTTTGTACTGTGAGCAAAAGCACCCCATCCTTTTGGGTGCTCCTCTGGAATAAGTAGCTGGAAGATAGCTCTGGAGGAATCAACAGATACCTGGAGAGTGGTGCTGGTGGGAATCCCACCCTAAGCATGAAAATATCTTGTTAGAGTTTTTCACTACATCCTATACAATAGTACATCCCAAAGAATGGTACTTTGGGGTTAGTTGCAAAGTTGATTATTGCTATTAAAATTGAGGTGTTGATTTTCTGGTAAATCTTGTTGCTAAACAAGAATCAACAAAGACAAATCCTGTAAATCCTTGATGGAAATAAAGCGAAGGCCTGTCTTCCAGATTACATGCTAATGTTACAAAGAAATTGTTCTGATAATATTATTCTTTTAATTTAAGGTCTTGTCAACAACACTGGTATTGACTGGTTCTTGCCCTGGCCTCCCCAAGCCTTGTATGCAGTTGCAAAATCCTTTGTTGGTATGTAAAATGCTATCATTTTTAACCCCTTAATTCTTGGGATAGTCCAAGAAATACATTACTTACTTCGAAAGTATTGTAGGTGAGCAAGTCTCATGATTTGCTTTCTCATTGGGGCTCTTACTTTAACTTTAAACTGCTGATGTAAAATTATGTTTTCCTGATGAAAGTTTCATACTCAGATTTTAAAATTTTCTAAAACTCAAGCTCCTAACATTGGAGTGTGGTTTGGGTACCAGCATACCTGGGTTCTCTTCTGAGTTCTGCCTTAAACTGTTTTTTGTCCTGAAAAGCAGACTTGGACTTGAATGTACGTAAAAGCCAGAAGATAATTGACAACCTTCTTCGAAAAGTTTGGATTTTTAAAAAATTATTATTTCTACTGCCCAATTTTAGGAGCTAGTCCACGTGTCCCATCAGAGAGCTCGGAGCTGGTGATTCAGCACATCGTCATGGTACATGAATCCGTAGGGGATTTCAGCAAGAAGTTTCTGCAGAAACTGAGACGTAGCAACTATGTCACACCAAAGAATTACCTTGATTTTATCCATACGTATTCAAAATTGCTGGAGGAGAAAAATGAGTTCATTTTAGGTAAGGCTGTGTAGATGCTTCTTTTTTAATAAGAGATTTAAATATTTTAAACAGAAAAACACTTTATGGTGAAAATCCCATGTATTACCCACATAATGCAAAAGGTTTTTTTTTTTTTATTAATTCTATCTCCAGTGCTGTGCTGGTTTCTGGTTTTGACATTGGACCAATATCCTTGCCATATGTGAATGTTCTGGCTTGGCATCAAATAGTGGGATTTTCCCAAATTCTTCTGTAGAATCTGCACCAGAATCTCCAGAATAGACACTTATAATAAAATACGTAGTACATAATAAAATATGTAAAGAGGATTAAACAGGAACAATGTAAAACAAAAAGGAAGCCATGGCACAGGGCTCTGTGGAGTGGCTCGGATGGCATTTACATCGTCTTGGGTGGAAGATGTGGGAAAAGAAAAATCTTTTCCACCCATTCTTTTGTAACCTAAGCTGTCTGATGCAAAATACAGCTATAAGCATATCTCCTTGCTGTGAGACTGTCTATTACTGTGTGACAGTAACAATGAATCACTAATATTTTTCTCCTTTCTTTTTTTTTTTTACCTAGCACAATGTAAACGGCTGGATGGGGGCTTAGATAAACTGAAAGAAGCCAGCATACAGCTGGTTGAGCTGAACAAGAAACTGGCAGAGCAAAAGATTGTACTAGCAGAAAAATCAGCTGCCTGTGAGGCTTTGTTACAAGAGATTTCAACAAACACAGCAGTAGGCAAGTACTTTAGAACTCCTGAGGTTCCTCCTAAGGGAAAGCAACGTGCATATAGTCTGTGTTGGGTTAGGAGATCCTCTTGTAAGCTCCAGCAACTCCAAAAGATAAACTTCTTGTTCTGTCTCTGCTGATCCAGTGTCCTACTACAAGAATAGGTCTTGTATCATACCCAGATTGCCTTTTTTTTTGCAAGGCTAAATTGCCTGTAGTACTTTAAACTCATGATCCAATTCAGGTATAGCAAGTTATCAAAAAGGTAACGAGTGATAGTAACTTCTGATTTTGAGCCAGGGATGCATCTGTAAGTTCTGGATACAAATGTGAACAATCCATTTATGGTTCTGCCTTTTCAATTCCTAGCTGAGGAGAAGAAAAAAATGGCCGAAGAAAAAGCTGTGGAAATTGAGGAGCAGAATAAGATTATTGGTGTGGAGAAGAAGGAGGCTGAGACAGCCTTGGCTGAGGCCCTGCCTATTTTAGAAGCTGCCAAACTGGAGCTGCAGAAGCTTGACAAATCTGATGTTACTGAGATCAGGTGATTCATTTGGATCTGCAGTAGTGTAAGCTTGGAAATTTACCGTGGGACACTTGTTTGCAGGGGCTGAGCCTTAGCCTCCCCTTCCCCACCTGCATGGTGTGTGGGTAAAGGTCAGGGCATGTGTTGTCCAGATGCAGAGGTCACTACGAAGTCTCCTAGGGACTTCCCACAAGCCTCTTATGCCAGTTGTACATTCAGTGTCTTCCCTGGAATTCTCTATTCTGTGTTTGATGTGCTTGATTGGGAACTGCTGTGGGTTTTGTCTAAGCAGTGGGTCTTTAAATATCTTCATTCCTCCTTATTTTTTATTCTGTGTGAATAGGAACACACAAGACTTACTTTTCAGGGATGCTTTGATAGCATGAAAATTTATTTCTTTGCTGAATTATTCCTGTGTTTTTATTATACATCTTGTGTTTGGGGACAGATGTAAAGGTGCATCTAGTCCTTAGCTGTCTGGGAAAGAGCAGCAGCTCTCCCTTCCCTGTCCCAGTGAACAGATGCTTTGCTGGCTCAGGGCTTTAGGCGCTCCATAATTGAAATACTTTAGTCTCTTATTGATCAAATTGTCCAAATAGAATAAATATTTTATCCATTGCCTAGTTAGTCTTCCCTTGTCTGTCCTGGATTATCTTTTTCACTTTGTGGAGGACAATCTTGCTGTATTGCAGTGACTCCCTTAACAGGAAGCAACTGTGTCTGGCATCTTGTACTCTGTCTCCTCCATTGTCTCCTTCATCTATTTTCTAGATCATTTGCGAAACCCCCTAAGCAGGTGCAGACTGTCTGTGAGTGTATTCTCATAATGAGAGGGTACAAAGAATTAAACTGGAAGACAGCCAAAGGAATGATGTCTGAGGCTAATTTCCTGCGATCCCTAATGGAGATAGATTTTGATGGAATTACTCAGGGCCAAGTGAAATCTGTACGAGGTAAATTATTGACCTGTGTATGTGGAAGGAATGTAGCATCTTCTTAATGTTACTGTCCATGTCATCAGGAGTCCTTCCAGCATTGCAGCGAGTGTGGGATTTACTTTGAGCAACGGAACAGCCGCTGTCCACAGTGCTGCGGGTGTTGCACTTTAGGGGTGACCGTGTTTTTCAGAACACAAAGACCTTTTGTCATTTGCTACATCCAGTTTACATCCTAGTCTTAATTAGGGCCTCAGGCACTTCTGCTTAGAGAGATCAAGAAATAAACAGAACAGCAGAGCAGAAGCATTACAGCCTTTGTGTGGTGGCAATTAAGATGTAGTATGTACAGAGAAGAAAGAAGACAGGCTACATCTAAAGCTTATGGGCTGAACCTTGCTTAGGCTCCCATGAGTGTAATCCAGAGTAATTCCATTAAGAGGGCAATTTGGCCTTTTCAACAAAGCAGCATCCCTGCTGCTCTGGGGACATGCTAAACAACTTCTGAATGCACTGGCTTTTGGGGCAAAGAACTTGAAATATCACTAGCAATGCTGTGCTTGTAGCCCACTAACTTCATTTTAGGTTAAAATCTTTAATTTTCTGACAAATATTTCATAATGGCTATCACAGTATTGCTCTGGGGCTGCAGAACTAAAGTGGTGCTGCAGATCATGCTGGCAGGGAAAGCTATTTCTCTGAAGATTTCTGCACTGCAATTCAACTCACCTTAGTATTTTTGTGTTTCCCCAGCTCTATTAAAGAATCTCAATACTACCTTTGAGGAAATGGAAGTTGTGAGCAGAGCAGGACTGGGAATGTTAAAGTTTGTGGAAGCAGTGATGAGTTACTGTGATGTGGCTAAAGAAGTCAGGCCTAAGAGAGAGAAGGTAGAGTGTGCGGATTTGAACTAAGAGGAGATGAACCATGACCCATAAGAAAAATAACCCTTGACTATTTCATTGATTGCCCCATTGCTGCTCTTCAAAGTGCTTAAAAAGAAGAGCTTAGTAAAACTAGTGAAGTCAGGGGTGAGCAGGTACAAGGTTAACTGCTGTGTTTGTCTCCTGAGGCTGTTATAGGGGCTCCTGTTTGGGCCAGTGTGTGAAGCAGGAGGCAGGGATCTGTTCAGGTGGAGTTTTGCAGTCTCGCCTGATGAGAGGTCAGCTCGCAGGTGTCAAGATAAAGCAAACTAGCAAAATGCATGGCACTTGAGCAGGGGAGAGCTCAGCACTACCCAGCATCTGTGACCCTGCCTTACAGACCTTATTAATAACTTTTTTATAAAGACTGGGAACCTCTTTTACTCGTCCTAGCAGATCATGGGAAACTCTGTCAAAGAAAAATTCTTGTATATGTATGACTACTAAGAAAGCATATTTATTAAATGAGAGGTCTAACAATTTTGAAGGCCTTAATATCACTATTAGTGATGGACCAAGCTCCCATGTTGTCATGGGATGACAGTCCCGCTTATCTCTGATGTCAACTGGACTGCTCGTTTATTTAATGTACCTAGTTGGTACAAAACCCTAGTTTAGGAGGTTTGTCTACTGTCAAACTGCTGGTTCAGACTTATGAATATGTTTGGGATGGGGAGAGTTGGGTGAGAAACAGTGCTGGTTATTTTCAGCTAGTCTGCTTGTTACCAGGGTGCCTTAAAATATATGAAATAACCAAAAGAAATCTAAGAATTTAAGATTCATCTCCAAAACCTTTTCTCCTGATTTTCTTAATGATTTCTTCATTATGTAGGTGGCTAGACTAGAACGGAATTATTTCCTAAGTAAACGAGAACTGGAAAAGATACAGGCAGAACTGGCTAAAATTCAGGCTGAGCTAAAAGCTTTGGGGAAGAAATATGAAGAAGCAATAGCAGAAAAGCAACAGTTACAAGAAGAAGCAGAGATTATGCAGAGGAGATTATATGCTGCTGATAAACTCATCTCTGGCTTGGGATCTGAAAACGAGAGGTGAGTTTAGATCCAGAGAGAAACTTTGACCTTAGGAATTGGATCCTTTGTCAGAGTTAAAAGTCTGCCAAACTGACACACTTTTGGAAGCATCTCTCTGCCTGTGACATTTGTTTCTGCAAAGCAGCTAATATCCATTAGTGCTTGGGAAAAAAAAAAAGGTGAACTGAGATTAAAAGGAAGAAGGTTCAAATCAACTCTGTCATGATGATGACGGAGCAACTAAGTAAGTTTAATGTTCTATCTCAACTTGCAGCTAAATTAGAAGCATTAGGAAATTCTGCCAATAACCCACACTTCTCTGGTACAGACACATCCAAAATTCCTGTATTTTTCTATCAGGTGGACAAAAGATTTAGAGGAATTCAAAATACGAAAAGTGAAGTTGCTTGGAGACTGTCTGCTCTGTGCTGCCTTTCTGAGCTATGAAGGAGCATTCAACTGGGAATTCCGTAATGAAATGGTCTATCAAGTGTGGCAAGAAGATATCCTCTCACGAGAGATTCCGCTCAGTCAACCTTTTAGATTAGAAAGCCTCCTGACTAACGAGGTTGAAGTTAGCAGGTATGTCCAATCAAGGAGTCCAGTGACTATTGTACATAGAATTGTGAAGTGGGAGTTTGGATCTAGATTTATAGGCTAGAGTTGGTACTGTGCATGGTGGTACACAGCTGTTTCAGCTATCATTTTACTTTCATGTTCCAAAGATGATGAGGAGACAAGCCATTTTTCTTCCAATTAACTGGGAATGTTTGTTGTAATAAACCTTTGCTCTCCAAGGATATTCACTGAACCTAGACACATGTAATGCCTTTTTAGAGTTCTTTTTTTTTCCCACTCCTATGAAGGTATCTACAATATGTGTTCAACCCAGAGCGTAGCAGGAGTATTTTCATAGACATCACTGATTTTTGGAATTAAAGCTATTCCCAATTAGTCCATATTTCTGCTACTGTAGCATTAGTCACTGCAGTGGTGTTTTGGATAGTGTAGCTACAAATGACTCAAAAACAAATCAGTCCCTGTTTTGAGACTGTTTCACAACCACATGTGGCTTTTGCTTCCTTTTATTACTAATAGAGTACTCAGTGGGTTGCATATTTTTGCTGACAAATGAAATGTGCTGCTGTCCACTAAGTTTTGTGTCCAGCCTGCTCTTTGATCCATCCCTTTCCCAGGTGGGTTTCCCAAGGATTGCCTCCAGATGAGCTCTCCGTCCAAAATGGCATTTTGACAACATATGCAAGTCGCTTCCCACTTTGTATTGACCCACAGCAGCAGGCGTTAAACTGGATTAAGAAGAAAGAAGAAAAAAATAACCTGAGGGTAAAGATGAAGGATCATTTTGTTCCTTTACTGGTTGCTTTGAAAGCTGAATAAGTATCTGTTACCTTGAACAGAGAGCTAGTTAAATATTGAAAAATGTGGTGATTATAAATATAGGTAAAGTATCACTGTCTGCATGACCTTCAGTTTTCTGAGTGTGGTGTTTTGCATGGGAGGTTGGCTAGCCTCAGTACCTGCAAAAATAGTGTAACTAAAAGGCAAATATTTAGCTTGTGGTTTTTCTCAGCTCCAGGATACAATTTTCCTATTGGACAGTAACATAGAGGCATAGTTGGAAGTTTGAAGAATAGTTCTCCGTATAGCAATTTTTCTCAACTCACAGGAAATACGTGCATCTTCGTTATTTTGTATGAGGGCAGTTTATATCATCTGTAAGGGGAAAGGCAGGTGTGCATCAACAAGCACCAGACTTAGTGCTGGCAACTATTATAAATTTATATTCTTCAGGAAATTGTTTATCAGTTCTGTTTTCATACCTTTGCATCATTCTCTTGCAGATGGCTTCCTTTAACGACCCAGATTTCCTTAAACAATTAGAACTGTCTATAAAGTACGGGAGCCCTTTCTTGTTCCATGATGTCGATGAATACATAGATCCAGTGATAGACAATGTCTTAGAGAAGAATATCAAAGTTGCACAGGGGCGAACATTCATTGTCCTGGGTGATAAAGAAGTTGACTATGACAGTAATTTTAGATTGTACTTGAACACCAAATTAGCAAACCCGAAGTATTCTCCCTCTGTGTTTGGCAAAGCTATGGTTATCAATTACACAGGTAAGCAAAAATGTGCTTTTAGTAACAAACTAGCAACTGTCCTGTAGTGCAAGCTTAAGGCCTTGGTGTTTATCTGAAACAATAATGAAGCTGTAAAAAAGTCTTACTCTCCCTTATTATTAGAATCTGATGTAATACAAAATTCTTCTTACTTCTCTCTTTTAGTTGAAGTAGAGCTAAGTATCTCTTATTGTAGCACTCATATCAGAATATATTGCTAGAATCAAAACGTAGTTATTAACCAAGTCCCTCTGTTGCACAGCTGTAGCTTTATAAGATGATGAAGATGAAATGTGTTGCCCAAAAGCTGTATTTGTTTTTAAAAAAGACTCTCTGCTGTCTACGTGTTCTATCTGTAGTTACACTGAAAGGCCTAGAGGATCAGTTGCTCAGCGTCATCATGGGTTATGAGAGGAGAGAACTGGAAGAACAGAGGGAGTCTCTCATCCAGGAGACAAGTGAGAACAAAAACTTGCTGAAAGACCTTGAAGACTCTCTCCTGAGGGAACTGGCGACTTCCACAGGAAACATGTTGGACAACATGGACTTGGTGCAGACCCTGGAAGAGACAAAATCCAAAGCTACGGAGGTAATGGCTCTGGGGTTTTAGGAAGGGTGTCTGCTTGTAAAACCTGTTCTTTCATTTTCATTCTGCTTCATCTTATCAAGTCCAAAGTAATGGTTCTTTACAGTTCTGAAACAAAAGGCATGTGATATATTTCTTTCAGATCTGAGATAGCAATTGTCCCATATCATATCAGATCTGAAATGAACAGTGAATCTATCTGTTACTTAGACTATAGAATCTATGTCCTTGGAATTTGTCTAGCCTTAGATGGGCAAAGCTGCTGCTGACCGATCATGTGTTGGTGATAGCCTGGCTGCTTCTTCCCTTTTCATAAATATACAGAGTGGGATTTACTTACAGTAACTTCTGATGTTTATAATACAGACTTCCTCCTTTTGAGATGCCTGACTAGATGCCCTGTGCAGTCAGCAGAGAGACATAAGCCGTTAGGGTGTGATTCTTCTCACTTAGTTCAGATATCTGCATTCCCATAAGATAAATCGTGTCTCAGTAGAGTGTCTTTCAGACTATCTGAATGGACGTGTAGTATCCAGGACCAGCCTGGATCTTCAGAGTGCTGTTTCCCTTGCCCTGTGAGATGTTTTTCTAACACAGCATTTGAAGATTACTTGTATTTTTGCTTAATTGTGGTATTTTTTTTAGTAAATATTCTGAATATGAGACATTACTAGTCTTTAGTAACTTGCATCCTGGTTTTCATAGAATTTTAATGCATGTTGACACTTGCAATCATTTTAAAACCTAAATGTTCACAATTCTCGTTTCAATGTGTTTAGCAATGGAATAGTTCTATTTATTGTTATAGAATATCTATGCCATGGATCAGTGCAGTAATTACACGTGGATAAGACCAGTGACAGACCATGTCTGACTAGGTGACTGAAAAGCTCAATCTGGCCGAGAAGACAGCGGTGGATATCGATCAGCTTCGAGATGGCTACAGACCAGCTGCCAAGAGGGGAGCCATTTTATTCTTCGTTTTGTCTGAAATGGCACTTGTGAACATCATGTATCAGTACTCATTAGTCTCCTTCTTGGAGGTTTTTGGACTCTCTCTTCGGAAATCCATGCCTAGTTCCATTCTTCAGAAGAGGTTAAAGAACATCATGGATACGTTAACTTTCAACATCTATAACTATGGCTGTACAGGTTGGTGTGGTTTGGTGATGGGCTATGTTGGGCAAATGCTCATTAAAGGCAATTTAATACCAATTTCAAGCAGCAAATCCTAGCAGTGGATCTCACATCTCTGGATATTGCTCCACAACTGTTGTTGATCCACTCTGTAAGGCCTGATCCAAAACCCTGTTTTTGATCAACCTGATCTTTGTGAGGTGATTTAGATGCAGGATTTGGATCTGGATTTAAAGTCTGTTCTAATTCCACAATTAAAAAAAATGTTTTCCTTTTAATGTAGGCTTGTTTGAGAAGCACAAGTTACTCTTCTCCTTCAATATGACTGTCAAGATAGAACAGGCTGATGGCAGAGTTCCACAAGAAGAACTTGACTTCTTTCTAAAAGGTACCTTGAATATTTGTATATGAATATATACCTATATTCGGCTATAGCTGAAAGATCTTTTAAAGATAGATTTAGATTAGATATGATTGTCTTTAATAGCTAGCATTTAGAGAACTCCCTTGCAGTTAGCTGAGCTATATCGGCTTATGAAAATGGTGGATTTTGCTGTTTGCAGTTGTTTTCACTTAGTTGAACACTTAAGAGACTAATCTTTCACTGACCATGTTGACAAATCTCCCATTAGCAGTGAAAAATTAGGACATTACCTCTGAGAATAGTCCTTACTGATTTTCTGAATGGTTTTGGAAAAGGTTGTAAAAATACAATTTTGGCTTTTGCCAGCAACGTCCTCTTCATTCAATGTCCTCTTCTCCTTTATCTTACTGTGCTTCCAGAACCAAATTTCTGAGCGGTTCCTTCTGTGCAGTGGGACTGTATGTGTGGTCATGAGGTGGAAGATTCATGGTCTGAACATTTACTCTGTTTTCTGTATGTGACTAGGCAATATTTCCCTGGAGAAGAGTGCACGAAAGAAACCCTGTGCTTGGCTTCCAGATCAAGGCTGGGAAGACCTAATTCACCTGTCTGAACTATTTCCTGAGAAGTTTGAATCTCTTGCAGATGATGTGGAAAAAAATCCAGATGTGTGGAAAAATGTATGTGCTTTTCTGCAAACCTGTTTTCTTTGTTTTTCTTCTGGAATTAAATGTTCAAGGATGAGGCAGTGTGCCATAGCACACCGCAGGAGGCTTTTTATGTCAAGGCCCCGCTTTTCTTCTTGACTTCAGTTAGTCAAGCTTAATCCCGGCTTATTTGAGCAGAATGAGATCTCTTATTTAACAAACAACTCCCTCTGACCTCCAATTTTTCCTCCATTCTGTTTTCCAGACAAATGCCTTAGATAGGTTTTTGTCCTGTTGAAGACAGTGGAATTTTTACTGCTGATTTCAACAGATCTCATTTTACTTTGTGCTAAATTGTGCTTTGATCTTCTTGTGGCAGAGAGTTGTGCAGTCTGGTTATAAAAACTGTCCTTTGTTCTGCCTTCAGCTTCATTGCGTGTCTTCTTCCTTTAAGAAATCTTTCTGTAAGTAATCTGAATGCTTTTCTGTTTGAAATGCTCTTTTCTGTATCTTAAGAGAACTGCTTGTCACAAAATGAAAGTTGGAATGTGTTTCTGGGCTTTATTTTTTGTATAGTGAAAAGCTTGAATATTTGGCATTCAGTTATTACAATTTTAAAAAATTCTTTATAGCTGATTTTCTTCCTTATTCTCCTCATGTCTCTTGGTTCTAGCCCCCTGTTAACGAAATTGCTTTTCTCTGTGCTCCTTTCCTAGTAATTTCATGACTAGATCCATATGATTAACTGGTGTTGTCTCTTATCTCCTTTCGCCAGTGGTATGATATAGATGCTCTGGAGCAGACGCCATTCCCCATGCACTACCAGAACAGCCTCACAAACTTCCAGAAGCTCCTACTTCTGCGCTGCTTCCGAGTGGACCGGGTGTATCGGGCAGTAACGGACTATGTCACTCTGACAATGAGTGAGAAGTAAGTCACTCCGTGGTTACAAATCAGAATCCCACTGTTCAGGTACTTCACACAAAACTGGAGTTGTAATCAGTGATATATTTACACTATTTGTCTAAATAATAGAGCTCAGTTTCTCTTTGTATTATTTCCATGTGCGTATACATTCTGCAGTGAACTTGGATGTGAAGTGGCTGCTTTTGCATAAATCAGCAGTTCACTGTGCTTCCTTCTCCTTTTTCCAGGTACGTGCAGCCCCCCGTGATCAGCTTTGAGGCCATCTTCGAGCAGAGCAGTCCTTACTCGCCCATCGTTTTTATCTTGAGTCCTGGCTCGGATCCTGCCAGTGACCTCATGAAGCTGGCTGAGCGGAGCGGCTTTGGCGGAAACAGGCTCAAGTTCCTCGCCATGGGGCAAGGCCAAGAGAAGGTAATTTCAGTGGGAGGGCAGGAACACGCTGTTTGCAGGAAGTTAGTGGCTGATTGCAAATCATAATCTTAACGTTATGGATCTGTCCAAGTTTCCTTCTAAATGCCTGCTCCATTCCAAATGGAATTGGTGGTTTAGACCTGACAGACAATTTGCCAGCCTGGGAAAGATGTTCTCCTTTGACCTGCAAGGGGCATTTAGCTGGTTGGCTGGTTTTACAGTTAGGGTAAGGGTGGATTCAGAATGATTTTGTCATCTGTGTTAAAAAATTTGAGTTGAAAGGATATTTCTCTGTAGTTTTTCAGAGTTTAATCAGTGACCCTGTCTGTCTATGGACATGGTCCACATGGAATGTCACGTGTCTACTAAAAAGACACCCTCTCCTTCCTGTTCACTTCCCGTTTTGTTACAGACATTAAGGCAGGATAGACACTAAGCCGAGCGTGCTCCTCAGAGCAAGAAGTTCAGGGCACTAACCCATGAGAGCCCTTCTGCTTTGGGGATAGAGGGAAAGCTCCTCACAGGTGGTTCTTTCCCTCTCCTAAGGTTGCTCTGCAGATGCTGGAGAATGTGGTGGCTCGTGGGCTGTGGTTAATGTTGCAGAACTGTCACCTCCTGGTGCGGTGGCTCATTGACCTGGAGAAGGCCCTGGAGAAAATCACGAAGCCTCATCCAGACTTCCGCCTCTGGCTGACGACAGATCCCACCAAGGGCTTCCCCATCGGAATACTGCAGAAGTCCCTAAAGGTAGTGAGCAGTGGGAGGACGTGTCCTGCCCCTCCTGCTCTGCAAAACAGACTGGTCTGGGGAGGAGCAGGACTCGAATGCAGCAGACTTGGTCTCTAGCTGCTTTTTGTCTTTGCAAGACAAATCCTCTTTTCCTCATCCTGTTTATATGGGGGTGATTTTTCTCTAGGTGAAAGCCGCTCAGCAGCGTTTCTCTGAAGTGTTTGTTTCAGAGCGGAGGATTGTCAGCAGATCTGGCGATGAGACAAATGCTCCTTAGCCCCCAATGGCACCGCTAGTGGGGAGTAGCTGGAGAGACAGAAATAGCCCTGTCAGGCCTGACACTGAAGCGCAGAACCGAGGTCTGTCTAGCCGGGCAATAGGGCCACCAGAGCAGACGCTGTAAGAGGATAATGGTTTCCAGCTGCTACCTCAGGCTGCAGCATTTATCACAGGCAAGCTGAGCTGATTAGTTTGAAGGCTGCTGTCCTAGTGCTCTTTCTGTGGCTGCTTCCTGGGGTTGCGGGAGCCACTCCTGTGGACATAACCACTGTGTGAGACACATTTGAAGGCAGTGGCACGACCCGTCCACTCAGTAGGTGCCCCAGGGCCTCAGTGGCAGCTCTGCAGTGTCCACCTTAGGCAGGGCCAAAGCTGTGACTAAAGACTGCAACCACCCCCTTGCCTGAGCAGCGAGGACAAGGGGTTGCAGAAGAGTGACCGTCTTGCCAGGAAGCTGCTCTGCCTCAGGTTCACGATCACCAAAGCCACAAAGGCTTTAGCCCTCCTATGGTAATGATGTGTGTGACTTAGAAAATGGGCTGTCAGGCTATGGGTAATATTTCAACAAATTAGATCTTTAAGTATGATAAATATTAATAATGTCTGCCCGGTTACATATCTATTTCTAAACTGGTACCAAATTTCTCTTTACATGAAAGTGTTTACCCTAGTATAATAAACAAGTCTATGTCCTCTCTTTAAATAAGAGAAGTTCCTATATTGGTATGAATTTAGAAAGCTGATTAGGTTTTTAAAGCTTGCACTATATATATGTATGTATACACACACTATCTATCTATCTATATTGCACTGAGAAAGCACAGTGAATTTACAATATGTATTCTTGAGGCTATTCAGTAATTAATGGCTTCCCTGATTGCTTTGATGCAGGTTGTAACAGAACCACCTAATGGTCTGAAACTGAATATGAGAGCCACCTACTTCAAAATCCCTCCTGAAGCCATAGAGCAGTGCCCACATCCTGCCTTTAAATCATTAGTCTATGTCTTGGCGTTTTTCCATGCTGTCGTTCAGGAGAGAAGGAAGTTTGGGAAGATTGGCTGGAATGTGCCATATGACTTCAATGAATCTGATTTCCAGGTAAGAAGCTAACGCTACCGGCTCATATGTTCTTGAGATGACAGATAATTTTTGAAAACTTACACTCTATCCAGCTGTAATTCTCTCTCACATTCGTATTTTCCTTTTTTTTTTCTGCTGCTGTGGTCACCATAAGGCCTTTAAAAATGAATCAAATTGCCAGTTCTTCCTGTTAGTATTACTTCCCTCATGATTTTTTAAATGGATTTATAACAAAATTTTTAATTATTTGAGAAAGAAATGCTTGTTAGTTTTCAAATAAGAACCTTGTTACTGGTGGTTATTTATAGCTAATTTGTGAACCTTCTGTTATGTCATGTTCTAATAAATTTATTAGGTCTGCATGGAAATTCTCAACACGTACTTGACAAAAGCTTTCCAGCAAAATGATGAGAAAATCCCCTGGAGTAGTCTCAAGTATCTTATTGGGGAGGTGAGTGCCCAGAATCTCATTAAGGAACTTTGAGGATAAAATAATCTGGAATAATGAAGATTCCCTTCTGCATGGGCTGTATCAAGGACAGCTGCCCCCGAATCTCTCCAGGGCTGTCTCGAAAGCCCTGTGCAGTCCTGAGCAAGTCACTTAATCTCATTGTCTCAGGGAAATTGGGCCATTGTGTGTAACTGCACAACAGGGGAGTTGAGGTTCTTAATTAATTTTTGAGTGAGGTTGCTCAGGGGATCTCTGATGAAAGGTACTGAACAGGAGAGCTGCACAGGGCTGCTAGCACAGGGGGTGGCCTCTACAAGCACATCTCAATACAAAGCTCTGGTGCTGTGTAGTAGCCACCAGCTCGACGTAGCTGCAGCAGCATGAAATCCTACAGGAAATTGTTATTTTGAGAGCTTAATCACGGCTGTTTGGGAGTTATTGTCACACATAAAACCACCAAGCTGGTTCTTAGGAGTGGCCCAGGGCAGCTCTCCCTGCACTTACCAGGATCCCACTTGGTGCCCCTTGGCAGGTGCCCGGAGCTGTGGTTGGTGTCCCTTAAGGGCCTCTCTGTTACACTGAGCAGTTCTGCAACAGCAAAGCTGCTGTTTGGGCCTTAACTGTATTTGCTGCCCAAAAAAGCCAGGGGTTTAATATTGCTTTAACTAATTTCTAGGTCATGTATGGTGGGCGTGCAATCGACAGCTTTGATCGCCGCATCCTGACTGTCTACATGGATGAGTACCTGGGCGATTTCATATTTGACACATTCCAGACATTTCATTTTTATAAAAACGATGAGGTTGATTATAAAATTCCAGAAGGGACTGTAAAGGATGACTTTGTTGGTAAGAAATGTTTTTTTTTCTGCCACATTATTTAGCACTTGGACACTAGACTATTTACAGTATAAATTTTCTCTTTATACGAGATAGCTGAAAGAAATAAAAATGTCAGTGTGTGTGTGTGTGTGTGTGTGTGTGTTGCAGTGTTATATAAGTGATGACAACACTTCTGCTTTGCATGAACAGCCCTTGGTAACAGCAGGCGAGCTCAGCAGCCACCTCCTCGCATTTCTTTAACTGAAAGCTCCAATAAGCCCCCTATAACGTATGCTAGTTTTTTAAAGATGGGATGTAAACAGGTGATGTGCATGTGTGTGTATATTTACAGATGTATACATACTTAATGCTAGAAATGCTTATTCAATGCCTAGTTTCCCTGGGTTTCAATATCCCTAGAGTATGAACATCAGCAGCAGGTCATGCCTGTGAGGTGAAGCTGTAACGAGAGCTGCTGCCGCCTCTGTGGGCACCCAGGGGCTGTGTCTTTGCTCTCGCGTTTGACGCTGTGTTTCTGTATTGCAGAGGAGATAGAGTCTCTGCCCCTCGCTAACACCCCGGAGGTCTTTGGACTTCATTCCAACGCTGAGATTGGGTATTACACGCAGGCAGCTCGTGACATGTGGGCTCATCTCCTGGAGCTGCAGCCGCAGACAGGTGCGATGAGTGTCCCGGGTGCGCATGGCGGGAGCGCTGAGCTCCGGGCCCTGGGACGGTGACACCAGCCAGGCCGGGACCCGCTGGGCTGGGCACGGGATGGAGCCCAGTCCTGGATGGGGCTGCCCAGGCTGGCGCCCGGAGACCCGGGATCCGCCAGCAGTGTTGTGCGGGGCGGGCAGAGGGCTTGGTGCCCCACACCAGCAGCCCCCTAGTTCTACAGAATTAGTCATAGAAGGGAGAAATTATTTGCCTTTAGTCTTACTAAGGCGTTTCTGTTTCAGGTGAATCTGGGACTGGAATCAGTAGAGACGAATATATTGGGAATGTTGCTAAGGACATACAAAACAAGATACCGCAAGTGTTTGATCTTGACCAGATCCGAAAGGTTTTTGGAATAGACATATCCCCTACTACAGTGGTGCTGCTGCAGGAACTGGAACGTTTTAATAAACTGATAATTCGGATGGCAAAGTCTTTGGCCGAGCTGCAGCGGGTGAGTAAGAGCCCGGCTGCCGCAGCCCACGGGTTCCACAGGGAACAGTCCCGGCCTTGGTGGTCCCTGCTCGGCACTTGCACACTCCCTGTCTCTGCAGGCCTTGGCGGGGGAAGTTGGGATGAGCAGCGAACTGGATGACGTGGCTCGGGCTCTCTTTAATGGACAGATTCCCGGCATCTGGCGGCGCCTGGCCCCCGACACGCTGAAAACGCTTGGGAACTGGATGATTTTCTTTAGAAATAGGTATCAGCAGTACAGCACCTGGGTAAGTGAGGCCTTCTGGGGTGCCTTCTGCTTTGTTCATCTGGGCTATGTGCTGCACAAATCAGTGCTGGGATGCAGAAGTCAGTAACCGTGCTCTGCTTTCAGTAAGTTTCTTTGAGCTAACTCTGGCACCAAGTCGGATGATAGAGAATTCCTACAATGATGGATGTAACCGAGGAGCCAGCGGGCAGCCCTTAAAGGCTTCTGCCTCAGGGCTGAGCTCTGGCTCTGGCGGAGAACAGAGCAGGGGCCGGTGTCTCCTGTGGCTGCAGGTGAACGAGAGCGAGCCCAAGGTCATGTGGCTCTCGGGGCTGCACATCCCCGAGTCCTACCTGACGGCGCTGGTGCAGGCCACCTGCAGGAGGAACGGCTGGCCCCTCGATCGCTCCACCCTCTACACCGAGGTGACAACGTACATGACGGCAGAAGACGTCACCGAAGGGTCTGGACAAGGTAGCTGTTTTTTTTTTTTTTCTTTTTTTTTCTTTTTTCCATTTTTTTTCCCCCTGATACTTAGAAAAAAAAAAACAAAGTAATTGGTCAAAGACAAAGAGTGAGCGCGAGCTGCCTAAGTGCCTGCTTAGCTTAACGAGTGGATTCATTGAGATTGTGCCTCCCCAGACAATACATTTGGTGGTGAATTTAGGAGTCTGCACAGCTGAGAGCTGGGAATTAGCTAGGCTCAGGTTCCTTTTTGCTGCTCATCTGCTCTATTCACTAAGTATCATTTTCTTGCTTAAGCTTATTATTTTTCTTTCATGTTGGGAACATTGCAGATCCTAATATATTTATAGAGATATGGTTTTTACAATGAATACTATATTTAAGCACACTTAAGCAAAAAATAAATAGCTAATGATAGCTCAGTTGTAAACAAATCTATGCACTTTCTAGGCCTGGCGATGCTGGCTGCTCTCATTACTGGTTGTAACAAACTCTGGGTGAGGGCCAGCTGAGCGGCTCCTGTGCACTAGAGCTCATTGGAAATAGAAGAGGGAAAAAGAAATCTCTGAATGTTTTTGCAAAATATAATTGGAGGGAAAAACATAAAGTCACCTCTAGGCTTTCCTTGGCTATTTATGTAGCAGTGAGCTAGCAAAAGATCTTGGCATTGTACGAGCACAGCCCTGTGCCCACGCTCCTGGTTCCAGCATGCTGACAAAAGGTGACAGTCCCATGGGATTTAAAAAGCTCCTTAGAGCTTTGCTGTTACTGGGGATATCACGCACTGGGGGGAGGAAAACTGCAAGCAAAGCAGCATTTATTCCTAAGAATGTTTATCATGTGTACAGCCCTTGAACCAATTTTCATTTGAAAAGAGACTTTTTTTTCCTCCACTGACAGAGATCATTGCTGAATTAAAGACAACAAAGTCTACAGAAAAATAGACTACTTTGTATTTCCACTTTGAAACCCTGTAGTGAATTTTGCTGAGCCTGCAGCAGCAAGGCAAAGCTGTTGCAAGGACAGCAGTTGTCTGAAGGAGCTGATTTTTTTTCAGTAGCTTGAGTTAAACAAGGTGCTGCCTTTGTGTTGTTACAGGATGTTTTGTTTCTGGCCTCTACCTGGAAGGAGCAGACTGGGACATGGAGAACAGCTGCCTTATGAAGAGCAAGCCCAAAGTCCTTGTGGTGGAGTTGCCTATTCTGAAGATAATTCCCATTGAAGCACATCGGCTCAAGCTCCAGGTACGTCTCCTTTGGGGACACGGGGCAGATTATTTCTGTATCTCAGCAGGTGGTAGTTCTTTACTTCCTGCAAGACGTATAGTATTCTCTCTATTTTCTACTGCAGGAAGTGTTTTATTATTTGCTAATACATAAAGTGCAGCTTAACACTTTTGCATCCACTTTTTTTTTTAGTGCTAGAGGTTGCATTATTTATTACTCTTCTTCCATTTAATATGAAATAAGCATCTTGGAAAGCTCTTCTAACCCCATTACTCTTTCCTTTATTTCCTATTTCCAGTTAGTAATGTAAATGTAGCTCAGTGTCTTCTCTTTTCAAGTTTGTAAGAAATCCCTGTATTAATTAGGCCAGTCCTCTCTCTTAAAGCCCTAGCCTGGGCATTTGAGCTCAGTTCCACGCAGCGCTGCGCCCTGACTCGCTGTCCTCTCTGCAGAACACGTTCCGCACGCCCGTGTACACGACGTCCCTGCGCAGGAACGCCATGGGCGTGGGCCTGGTGTTCGAGGCCGATCTCTACACCACGAAGCACCTTTCCCACTGGGTGCTTCAGGGCGTCTGCCTCACGCTCAACGCAGACTGACAGGGCCGTGGCAGGTACGAGGGTGGAGTTCCCACACGGAAGCTGCTGCTGGGAAAAGGAGGCCTGAGGGCAGGAGCGAGAAAACAGAAGTCAAGTAAGGCCAAGGATTCAGCAGCTTGGGCTGGGGAGTTTCTCTTATGAAGGAAAAAAAAGAGCACCTGACATTTTGGAAGGGTAGGTTATGAGCAGGCTATTCCACGTTGTGATTAGTAGTAATAAATACATGGGAAAAGTTTCTCATCATTTGCATTTTCTTTTAGAAACCATCAGGACAGCTGCAGGTACAGGTAGGAGGTGGTGAGTTAGTCTCATACACGCACACAAAGACTGAGCTTTGCCTGTACGGTTGTAAGGAGTGTTTTTAATTGCCCAAAGCATCCCTTCTGCTGTGCTTAGAAGAGATACTTTCCATCATCCTTGAACAAGTGGCAGGGTAGGTTCGACATACAAGAGACCGCCATAAAAATATGGCAACAAAAAAAAGTCAAAACCACTGCTGGTTAATGCAATACACTTAAAAAATGGAAAACGATAGAACCGCAAACATTCTTTAACCAACCGTGTCCCAGAAGGCAACTTTTCCCTCGCCCTCCTCACCACTACTCAAACATGCCCGTCCCCAGGAGCAGCAGGGTGCAAGGCCAGAGTGTTTTGTGTTTCCTGGGCTTCGGAGCAGCAGCGGGGCAGCGGGGAGCCCAGAGCAGCTGATGCGGTACGGGGCTGGGGGCAGCGTCGCTCCTGCTCGGGCCATGCTGGGCAGGGGGCTCACCCAGCTGCGGAGCGGAGCAGCGAGGAGGGCCCCTGGGTGCTGTTACCCCTGCTCCCCGCTTCTCCAGCCCGTGGGCCCCAGAGCAGGCACCACATGTGAGCCTGAGGCTGCAGAGGAGCAGGGCGGAGGTGAGGGGCGCTCCAGACCTTGGTTCCACAAAACAAATGGTGCTCCCTCTCTAAAACGTGAGCCTCGCAGCGCTCAATAACTAGGTCTTGCCTCCCTGGGTAACAGCAGAGCCAGGTGGTCAAACAGGCCGCGGGGCTGGCAGGTGTTTAGTGAAAAGGCTGACGGGAATAGGGCAAATGGAGGACAGGTCCTTCCTAACACACAAGGACAAAAATTAAGGATGCCAGTTTTGTTCCTGTTTGAATTGGTTAAGTTGGTTGAATTTAAAAATAAATACATTTGAGAGACACATATCAGGCATGCTACAAGTGTCTAAGCTGTTAGGAGACAGCATTGTCTGATGAGGCCCAGAATGAGTCTTGGATTATCAGGAAACAAAAATAATTGCTTCACCAAAATATACTACAAATTAAAAACAAACAAACCCAAAAACCCAGCAGGTCAACTCACAAAGAACCATTTCTGTATTGGACAGCCAGTTACATGTTCTCTGGGAAAGGCACTCAAGCTAGGAGGAAGGTGCCACAAGTGCAATTTACTAATCAGTCTAAAATGCAAAATGGAGCCATTCCATTGCAAAACACACCAGTGTTCATATTCTTTCCATAAGGCTCATTAGCCATTAAAAAGAGTGCTTTATAACCCATCCCCCCCTCCCTTTTTTTTTTAATCTTAAACAAAGCCACAACCCAAAGTATTCAGGATTACTCCAGTAATGCTTCCTGGGACTCAGGGGACCTGTGAACATTTTGCAAGAGAGAGAGGAAAACAAATCCTTAGGTCTCGCTCTCTCTAAAGTCTCTGTACATCTGCATCACTGTCAATGCTACCATGAGAAAGGCTTTGTCATGAAAGTTAAGTGTTTATGTTCGACGTGCGTTACCAGTGAAGACAAAAGAACCACTGATATTTTAAATGGTAACAGCCAATACCTATTGCTGCAGGTTTCTAGTTATGCTTCTTTTTTTGCTAACATTGGTTACTAAAGCAAACTGCAGCCTGTGCCTTTGTCCACATGTGAACTTACAGTAAGTGGAGCAGTGCTCAGAAGCAAGCAGTCAGGTACCCCAATTTGGCCACAGCATTCAGGAGGTAAGTACCTTGCCATATGAACACAGTCATATTGGGGGGGTGCATTAGAGGATAATAATCTAGTAGTGATGGACCTGGAAGAAGTTTGGCATGCATAGGGCATCAAAAGAAACTTGACCGCAGGTGCTATACATCCTATAGGATCACAGTGCATAAACAGCAACAGAACAGAGCATTTCAATCAGTGATTTTACTCAAACAGTTCTGTCCGTCCCTGAGTGCTTCCTCACCACTTTGCTGCCGTTGACCTGATCCACCGCGAGCGTCTCCACCTCGGGCGGCGGCGGGGGCGGCGCGGCGTGGTGGATGCGATGGGCCACCCCCACGTGCGCCTTGTGCGGCTTCTCGCGCGCCGGGCTGGACGACTCGCCCGCTGTGCGGTCCGACGCGATGGGTGGAATAACCAGCGGCCTCTCCTTGATGAGCTGCACCTCGGCCGTTTCCCGGGCCAGCAGAAAGGGCGTGGGATCGGGCATGGCATCCACGTGCTCCCTGAGGAGCAGCTTCCGGCTCTCCGCCCCTATTCTGTAGGCCTCTTCGAACTCCGGGTTGAGCGGGGTCGACAGGCTCTTCTTCATCCTGCGGCGCGGCGTCTCGGGCAGTTTGTCTTTGGGAGGGGCTGGTTTGTAGCTGGACAGCACGGGGCTGCCTGAAGGGGTCCCCTCTGCAGCCCCGCCGGCGCTCAGCAGCTTCTTCTTGGTAGCGTGGAGCTGAGACGTCAAATACGCAATGGTGCTCGCTCGCTGCTCTAGTTCACTCGACAGCATATTTAGCTTATGGCTTTTCATTTTTAGCTCTTCTAGATACTTCTTTTCTCTTTCTTTAATAGTATTTTCCAGCACCATTATCATTGCATTTTTCTGTTCAAGTTCTTTCAATAACTCATTATTTTCAGCCTCTTTGACTTTCAGCTGAGCTTCCAGTTCTTCACACTTTCTTTTAAGCTCATCACTTCTGGAGCTACCATTTCCTAGAGGAACAGCAGAAGCACAAATGTTTCATGTTAATTATAGCCCGTAAGTAAAATAGTGCAATGGGGCTTCCTACTGACGTCCTAAAGCCATAAAGAAACTCCCCAAAGACTGACATCCAGAAATACCCTAAATCATTTCCTCTGCAGAAGTACCAGGACAGCTCTTAGAGGGAAAGGTAAGTGCTAGTGCTGCTCACTGTAGCTTAAAAGAAAGCTGTTAATACTATGCAAAAAAACAAACAAAAAAAACCCCGAAGTGTTTCACATGCTTTGGGAACTGGAGGGAGGGAACAGGTTACAGAACCAACGCCTGCTGAACTTGCTCCACTCGAAGCCGTTTTGCAAGTCCTCTGGTCACGAGAAGCTGTCGCAGACGTGCGGGGCTGCAGGCCTTGCCCTTCCGCAGGCGCTGCTTGACTCGGAGTGTCCATCTTCACTGGACATCTGCTGCTATAGCCCCCCTCTCTCGCTCTCTCGGTGAGAGGTCTTGGCCTGGCTGCCTTTCCTTCCCAGCAAGGAGAGCGGGTGCCCCGCACAGCAGCAGTCCTTGCAGGTGAGCGCAGGCCGTTGGGCACAGGGACGCTGCCCTCTCTCAGCGCCCCTGCCACCAGGCTGCAGGACAGGCGGCGGCAGCGTTTCTGTCACCTTCTCCTTGGGAAGCTCTGCAGCAGTAACAACCCACTGCTCAGCTGAGCGCTGCAGGCCAAACTCCTCCAATACCAAGCACTGTTCACCAGCAAGACACTCTCCTCTCCAGCCTGGGGCACGCACAAGTCTGGCATCACTGACAGCTCTCCTACCCTGACGGGCCTATGAGCAGAAGCACTGAGCTGTGCTGCAGCACCAAGAAATAAACCCCGTTCCAGCAAGCCCCTGTGTCTTTGCTGAGCTTGCCCATGCTCTCTTAGCTGCAGTACAACATGTCCCACCCCCAGGCCATTCCCAAGCCAGAAGGCTGCTCCCAAGGAGGGTTTCATTCCCATCCTTCAGCTGAAATAACTGGCAGTCAACCATTTTTTTTTTTTTAAATCTCTGTGGTATAATTACAGTATTAGGTGAACTTTAATACTGTGTCTGTCTCTAAAATTCATGTCCTCTGTTCCCATAGAGCAAACAGGGAAGTGATGGTCTGGTGGTTGAAGTAATGGAGAAGAGTCAGCAGGTCTACACTCTCTTCCAAAGATATCCTGTGACCTTGGTTTAGAACTTGACATTTACTTCATAAATACGGATAAAAGCCTGGAAAGCAGAAAACCACTCTAATACCTTTGGAATTTGTAAATTCCATAATCCAATGACAATGTGCTTGTAATGGCAAAGTACAAATAGTTTGAAACATGAGAAATGCAGCATGAACATTAAGACAAAAATCACGTATTTTGTTTTCCTTACCTGTCAAGTCTGAACTTTTTACAGTCAGCTCATAGGTTAAGTCTGAAAAAAAAAAACAAAAAACCCCACACCCTTTTGTTAGAGCAACAACATATATGCTACCCCAAACATAGTTACATTGACATGTTTTCATAAAATACAACCAGCTTAGAAGATCCACTGCAGATTATCAAATCTGTAAAATAACTAAAACAGACAGAACAGAGTTTTGAGGACAATCTTTGCTATTGATTACAAAGTTGTGCTCTGAGTTGTAGTGTGTAAAAGTAACATGAGCTCATCCTAACCATGCTGTGGTGGTGGGCCTTGTTGTGAAGGGTTGAATGCTAAAATAAGCAGCAAGTCCCACAGTCTTGTAAGAAGAATTAAGTTTATATATTGGTTCTTCAGTAGGGCAACTCCGTGCACATCAAGTTCACCCAGTTACATTCGGCTATAAACAAGAAATGGTATTTTAGAGGATTTCGGAGAAAGAGAAGTCAGGACTGGTTCCCAAGCCTCACTTTTGCATTTGGGATGTGATGAGATCTAGAGGTTGAACATTGCTCTGCAGAAGACCTCCCCTCTGCCCAAGCCTGGTGTGCAACAGACACATCTCCCCCTTTCCGTGCCTTTCCCTGTACAGCCGTGGCCATCAGGGTCCCTCCCGCTACGAAGCACTCGGCTGTTCAGCAGCAGAGCCCCGGCAGTGCGCTGGCCCCCGGCGTGCGTTACCTGTGCAGTGCTGCTGCAGGCGGCGGATCTCGGCGTGCAGCCCTTTCAGTGTGTTCGCGTGTTCGCGCTGCAGAAACAGCAGGTTCTTCTGGGCACTGTGCAACTGGTTCTCCAGGTTGGAAGCTGCCATCCTGGCATGCAGGGTATCTGTTAGTAAACAGACGGAGTCAGCTATTGTGCAGATATCAATATCCTGGTCCTACAGCCCAAATCAACAGAATAACTAGTCTACTATTAAAGAATTGAAAATGTAATGACACAAATGCCCACAGAAGTAAAATATTTTCCCATATCATGACCCCCTCAGTTACAAGGGCTCCAAGTTCATAGAAAACCTGATTACATTCTAGGCCAGAGCAGCCCAGGAACTCATTTGTTTGGAGTTAACACATTTAAAGGATTAGTTTCAGACAGGCCTAAGTCACTAATCCTTTTACAAGATAAAAGTGGAGTTCTCAGAAATGACTAGTATGTCCCTTGGTCTTGTGGAGGGCTTCCCATTTACCTCTCAGGATACAGGAATGAATAACTCCCTTAATTATAAACAAGGAAGAAAGCCCTAAAACACACCATAAAAGAGACCGCAAAATAATCTGCCTTTAACAAAGAGCAGAGCCTGACGCTGCTGCCCGTGTGAGGGTCTCCGTGTGGTTGCCAAGGGCGGCCCCGTCGAGACGTGCACACTAGAACCTGCAGCAGAGAGCTCTGCCCGGCGCGGTGCCGATTGTGTCCTCAGCTGCGCGGCACGACGGAGCCTGGCACCGGGACAGGACGCGGTTCCCGCAGCGGAGAAGCCCCGGCCCACGGACGGTAAGGCCATGCTCAGGCACCATGTTTCTCTTAAAGAGAAAAATGACAGACTTCTTGTTGCTTGGGTTATGAGCACAAAGGCAACTGTAACACTGCTTTAAATGCTTTGTACAATAAGAGGAGGGCCTTGACTACCGCAATGCTCAGCACCAAATAAAGATGGAAATGGTTAACTGGACAGTGCTGGGAGGAATCTTGAGCACTCTGAGCACTGCTTGCATTACTACTGTAACTTGCAGAGCTCTGCCAAGACGGCCTTTCAACTCTCGTCCTCGGACATAGGTGTGCAGAAGAAAAAGTCTACGGAGATGGGCTAATGGGGACGCCGAAGGGTCAGTAGCTCACACTGACGGGAATCTCACAAGACAGAACTGGGAGAAAACACATCTCTTTGGGAAGCTGCACAGGACAGGCGCTGCTCTGGGTAGACATGAAGAAAGGACTGCCAAGTGCCTCCGGATCCAAGGAGACAGCAGACCTAACATGGTGATTGTGGTGAGTTAAACAGAGCCGGAAAAACAATTAGAGTATTTAGGCTACTTAACCAAGTAACGAGAAGGGAATCTCTGTTGCTGGGACAGCGTCCGCGATGGCATTAGAGCAGCAGGCTGGAGTGACAGGGTCACAGGCTGTGCAGGGGTCAGACCTTAATTCTCACCCTCGGCTGTCTCACTGGCACCCTTAACTGGTCAATCTTGCCATTTACAGTATTTTTCACTGTTCTTTCAGTGTTCTCTTAGCAAAGAGAGAACAATGAAAAGATTGATTCTGCAACTTCAAAACTGCTAAGATGTCCACTTAGTGCAAGTAACACATTTCGACTGTTCCTAAGCATAATACTCTGAGAAATGATTCACCTGAGCCATAGCTACTTTTGCACACAAAGGCAAGAGATTCACACAAGAAACTTTTCCATGGCCACCACAACTGGACCCTCACACAGTCCACAGCATCAACGGATTATTTGAAGATTGACTACTCAGGTCATAGCAGTTACTGTATGGCATCATTACTTTTAAAGTTTATTGATATTTTTGCTGCGATACATTTTCAAAGTGACATGGTCTTGCTTGCAAAGCTGACTTCAGACAGACAAAAGCTTTACTGAATCATCCAATTTCTTAAGTGCTCATTAGATTCTTATCGACAGAATATGTCAGTAGAATAAACCTGCACCAGTGTCCATCCCTCCACAGCAGCTCCTCCATAGCAAGAGCTTTCACTGCACAAACACCAACGCTCAGAACAGATTTTTATTAATAGTGGGAAATATCTTTTATTTAAAGAAACTTCTCTAAGCACTGACAGTGCTACGTGGAAGAACAGCAGGCATGTAGTACTCTGAAAGCTTTATTATCACAGTGGTTACTAATAGCAGCTTTATGTCTGCACCTATAATTGGGGTAGAAGAGACAGTCACCAGCAACAAACACATCAATAAGAAATACCTATATCTCTAGTTATGTTAGAAGAAAATAAAATGAGGTTGTAACTACTACTTCCTTATGGTTATTTATCACCTATAACAAAAACAAAAACACCTATAATGCTCCTCTGCATCTGAGAACACACTAGAACTACCTAGGCTGAAGAAAAATGATCAGTTATAGAATCTTGGGAAGAAAACGAGTATTAGCTGCACCAGAGCATCTTTTCTCCCGCAGCACTGGAAGCTAATCAGTGAAGGCAATTAAATCAATACACTTGGGTTTTAGGTGCAGCCCTTTTGGGGTAAGTAGTCCTTACTCTGCCCTGAGGATAAGGGATCAGAAGGGCAGCTTCCCATAAACCCTCCGTGAGCTCCTACCCTCTGCTGCCTTGCTGCAACATAGCGCCGGGCAGCCTGTTGCTTGGCTGTCCTCTCCCCTCTCCTTCAAGGGAAGCAGAAAGCCATCAGGAAAAAGCCAGTTTTTACAAAATTGATGGACAGCACCTTCAATTCTACCTTGCCCACTGCAGATTCACATGCAGCCTCAATGACACTGTGTAACCTGTGCATGTGTCCCGGGGCTCTGCTGAAATCTGCTTAAAACAGGCAACTTAGTATTAATACACTGTATTTTGTAGCCATTATTACAAGTGAACCTGAAAACACAAAAATGTAGCTCAGTATATTAAAGCTTGAGATCTGTATGAAACTGAGTCCAACTCAATGCCCATTATCTCTCAACCCTGGCCATTACTGCAATATTAAAAATTCTTTGGACTGATTTTGCAGTCTAATTTATGAGGAAATTTCTACAGAACAAAGGAGGAGGAGAAAAAAAAAAAAAAACCCTCATCTGCAGTCTGAACAGCCTCCCGGAGACCAATGCATCACATTGTGATTCACCCAACTCAAGGTTCTGGAATATTTTGCCCCTGGAGACTTTCAGCTAGCGTCTAACTGGAAAGCTGGCCAAAAACTACCTAATCAGAAGCCAGTCAAAAGGTGTATCTTATTTTTTCTAGAATAACATCTAATTGGTTTATGCTGTTAAAACAGTAATACAATGGAATTGGCTACAAGAAGATTAAAAAAAGGGCAAGATCTCCAGTTCACAAGGGCAACAGTGTAACATCCCCCCCCTTCCCCTGCAAACCAATTAATCTGTTGCTGGGCAAATTCTTTCTAAACAGACCATTTGTGAAGATCAGAAACAGAGTCAGGAGGCAGCAGAGAAACCTCCAAATTCAACCCGTCAGCGCAGCGCCCCTGGAAGCAGAAGGCCCTGGGAGCTGGATGCCACTGGCATGCCCTCTAGGAGGGAAGTGAGACATTACCTGGCCTAATATACACATGGGTTATTTAAAGAAGCCATTACCATGGTTCAGATGCTTTTGTAACTCTACAATATTTATACTGCTTGCACAGCTTGTTCCTATTCTTCAGCTAAGGCAGTGGGCTTTATTCTTGCTTTGCTGGTGCTAGTGTGAGCTTTTGGAGTTGTTTACTATACTAAAAAAATGCTGAATAGAATAATTGCTTTTATTAGGGAGTTACTCAATAATCAATGTGAAGGACTTAGAAGCTGCATAATAGCCAAAGTTGCCTTTATATGGCAGTGCCAAGATTCTCTGCAGGAAACTGAGTCAGACAGGAGAAATACCAACAAACATTGGATACAAAGAGCTGGATAAAGATGACCACAAAGAACTCGGCAACTACACTTAACTTCGTAAAGCGTCCAGACCTTGGACGCTTACTCTTTGATGGAAACACAGGGAGAAAGCAGGCACAGATATCCTGCAGGCATGCACAGGAGAACCTATTCCAGAGAGCATTACCAAATCCAGGGAATGTGTTCACATTGCCCACCGGCACGCAGCCTGCACGCTTCCCTCCTGGATGCTGACACTGCCAATGCTACTGCATGGCAGGGCAAGGGGGGCACATTGCTTACCTTCAGCAGATGCTTAATGCTCTTTGTTTGCCAAATTGTTATGATTTTTCTTTTCAGCAGCAGACTGAACCTATGCCGATTTATGAGCGGGATGTCATTTGAATACAATCAATTTTCTAACACACTTACCTTTGAACAATTCAGATTATTAGGATGCTGCAAGTTTACATGATGAAGGCATTTTTCTTCTCCCTCCCCACCACTTACAGTCAGTGTGTATATTTTATGAAACTGTTAATATCTTATAACTAATCGGTTTTCCTTGTTTATGCACATCTTTTAAAGACTAAAGGGTTGAGAAACTGCAAATATATAAACTACTTTAAAGCCACAAACATTGACAATAGTGACAAAGATAAGCCATCTATTTAAAATGTTAAAAGCTATTATAAATTAGCAATATTCCCTTAATTCTGCATTCAACTAAAACTACTAAAACTACTAAAATCTACTATCATTGCATTATTCATTTTCAAAAAGTGAAATTTGTTAGCAAATAAAAAGATATGATTGAAGTGAGACCTACTGACCAACAAGTCAACAAACATTTTCTCACTAACACATAAATGCCAGGAAAAGAGCACTTTCGTATACAGAAGGTTTAACTGAGCTCCAAGGGAGGTTTTGGTCACAGTGGGATTTATGTCTACCCCACGATCCTTGGCAATTCTTAACTCCCCGTGTCTTGATGCACAGCATAAATAATCATGAATCAGATCCAACAACTGTTCTCAAGGGTGTGAGAAAGATGGTCCTGAGAGAGGTTAATTCTAAAATAGATTCTCAGGTATGGCTGCCCCTGGAGTTTCAAAGAAGAATTCTATAAAGCAGCTTCGAGACTGTGCTAAGGTTATTTTATCTCCTGCCTTCCCAAAAGAGGAGGAAGGAGGACCAACAATACAGCCAAGAAAAGATTATATTAAAAACAAACCTCCCTCCACCCCTGCCACACAC